TCTCAAATAGATTTTATCAACGATTGCAACTGCTTTCAGCTACAAAACGTTACATGTTTTCTTTTGAAATGATGAAAGAACAGGAAAATGTTGAAATTATTTTTGGTTAAAATAGTAGAAACAGTCTTGATAATGTGATACAACGGTACTGAGGTAGCATAAAATTTGAAAGAGCTTGCATATTTTTCTAATAAATGATTGTTAACCAAATGCTTATTGGGGAAAAAATCATACGCTGTTTAAATCAAGTATTCATGGATCTCAGACGCCTTGCAATTTTTTATACTGCTTTTATGAAAAGATTGCTATATCTGCTTCATATCATTTAATGGCATCATATTTTTTCGTACTGCAGTAAATTAGAATTTAAAATTTAAAAAGTCGTGTAGTTTTTTTTTTAATTCATAAAAACATGTCATGAGTAATGCTACGAGCGTACGAAAAATACAATAGAATTTTCCCATAAAGTTAACGTCATAATTTTTTTTGTTTCTTTGAATGAAGTAAAATATGTGAAAGCTGTCTGTCTAAAAAGAGAAGTTCCTACGAGGAGAATTTTTTAAAGGAAACCGCGAAGTCACCTAAGCGACTTTTTTGCATTAGAGCGCCGTAAAAGATATTTTAAAGAAACGTACAAAGCGAAAAATATATTTAAAAAAAAGTTTTTTATTTTATTACACACTGTCATTTTATTATTAATAAGAAAGTAAGAAAAACCATTTAGCCAAAATGCAACAAAAATACACAATTTCCCTCTTAAAATTATACAAATTAGCTGCCTAATCAAAAATATATGATTAAAAAAAGTAGTATACATCTTTTTTCTTATTGGGAAGAGAAGTTTAACAATGTAGTATGGAACGGAGTTAAAAATATAGGTAGCACTTTACGGAAATCAGTTTTATCGGTGAATTATTTTTTAAGCAAAATGGCTATGACCTTACATTTTATACGAATTCAGTTATTCATAGCAGTATAAATCCGTATTACATGGTGTAATGGAGGTTCTGTTGTATTTATTGTTCAGGTAATTTCTTGTCGGCTTTAACTTCTCGCCAGAAAATTCATAAAGACGCCAATCCTGCAACCCGCGGTTTATGTTCATTATTGTCCGCAGCTCAAGATAGGTCTCCTGATAAATTCCGAATAAGTTACATTTATGCGCTTAATTGTGACTCCCATCGTGCTGCTTAAACGGATCCGAAGAATTCAGATATCCTCATTAACGACCATCATTATTATTACTTTTTCCCAGTGCCCCCCCACAACTACAGCTAATCCCCGCATTTATGCTTTTGTTCCAGAGCATTTGGGCACACTTCCCCTTACTTGCTGGTGATTACATCTTTGGATTATTACTGCCATTTGGAAGGAGGTACTCAAGACTCGTTTGTCATTTCATTCGAGTTTCTTGTTAACGCGAGCTTAGGCCTCATATTACCATTATTTTTATTTGCAGTAGAGGGGAAGAACTGTAACAACTGAATGGGGAAGTTACCATAGATTGAAATACTCCTTTTGTTTTCTTTTCTTGCTTGAGATCATGAGACAGGTTTTTCAGTTGTGGGCGTCCGACGATTCCGAAATGTATTAACAGTAATTCTTTTCTTTTTTGCTGTTTTTGTGCATGGATGATGTCCAGTGAAAACTATATTTTTTGTTTAAACGAGTGTGTGATTCGAGATTGTTTTCCACTCTGAAGATTCTTCACTATTCAATCTTCGCTTTGGGCATCGCCAGTTCGCTGCAAAATACTTACACTACTTGAACTGAAGAAAACAACAAGCTTTTGCTTGCGTAATAAATAAGCTATAAAGCCGGGATTGAATCTTTTTTTATTATTTATTTATCTATTATTACTTATTTATTAATGCAGGATTACGTTCCTCAGTGACAGTCTTGATGGACCAAAAAATATTAAGACGCAGAACATGTCTTAGTAGAACGTTTATATCTCGATAACCTCAAAAGTTTTCATTTATGGCTTATTTGATAGTTAAAGGAGACTATTACAAAAGAAACAAACAAACAAACAAACAAAAAAATGGAATTGTGGTTGAACCACAGCAGAGTTTTAGGTTAGGCAAAAATACAGAATACTTTGATTACGTCACAAGTGCACGCGCACGAATTAGGTTTACGAGAAACACCGATACTCTTGTGTTATCGATACCGGATTCAGAAATGTATGTTATGTATGTACATACGTATATGTATGTGTGCATATATGCATATATATATATATATTAGAGTTTTATATATATATTAGAGTACGCATATATATGCTAGTTAGATTTATATGTTTTGAGCATAATGTTATAGGAATCCTAAATTTACAATTATTAAAACAAAAAAAAAAAAAAAAAAAAAAAAAATCCTTATGTAATCAGGACGAATTGAGAAATGTGTGTAAATAGCGTGTAGTGTGGATTATTTGTTTTAATGTATTCATGTGTTCTATGTACGTATATGTTATATATATATATATATAATATATCTCAATCCGATCCTGATTACAAAAAAGCCTTTTTTTTTTAATAATTGTAAATTTAGGATTCCTATAACAGTTATGCTCAAAACATATAAATCTAACTAGGATAGTAATTTTTTGATGGAAAAATTTATAGCATTATTCAAGATAAATTTTCAGAAAATTTTGCAGCTTGGGATTTAAATTAATAATTTGTAAGTTAAATATTCATTCTAAAAACAGTCTAACAGATATCAGTCAGTAATACTAATAACTAATTTTTGTAACTAAAAAGTAACATATTACATACTTCTTAAAGTGATACGTACAAAGTCCGTAATCCGGACTCGTCGGGACTTCGGCGATTCCTGTTTAGGGGTTTTTCCGGATTATAGATCATCAATTTAAATCTGGTAAGATGGCATGCAGAAATTTTACAATTAAAAATATGAAACCTTAATTTATGAAATAAAGAGCAATTATGATTTAATCATTAAAAGGTATCAAAATTTACAAAAAAAAAAAAAAAGAGCTTAATATTTATTTGTTTACTTTATTAAACATTTCTGTCAATGCAAGTTGTTTAAGTTGCTTCGTTTTTTTCTGTGCTAATACTTTCTCTTTAATTCTATAAACAGACATAATTTCTTGTTCAGTTACAAAGTTCCATTGTTCAAGTCCCGTAATTGCTGTGTCAAGAATACCGACTAACTTGTCATTTGAAATTTTTTCATTTTCAATAACCTCTCTCACTTTCCTCACTATTGGAAGCGCGAGGGTAAACGCTTTGCGCGCATGCGTATGTTTGTGGCTTTGAGGTCCAGATTATAGATCATTCCAGATAATGGACGTCCGGATTACGGACTTTGTATTGTATTTACATTTATGATAAATCACATTATCTCAAGGGTTTTGATGACATAACATGAGACCAAGATTTTCATTGAAGTGAAATATATTTTGACAAGATCGTATCAATATTGTACATGTAATAGATATTCTACTTTAGTGCAGTGTCTGCCGTCCATTAGTACATTTTAAAATTTAATAAAATATCATTGAACATTAATTAGCAAGTATCAGGAGACAGCATACTTGAATGAATGCATCCTTTTCTGCCTACTAGAAGTTTAGCAAATCTCCATAGTGCAAACTTCTGTTACACTAAATTTATATAAAGAAAATTCAAATCTTGGGCCATCTCCATCATTGAACTTGGAAATATGAAATAAATTTTGTTAAGATTTAAAGGAAATGAAATTGATAAGGATCGGGAAAAAAGTAGCAGCTGGTGGCAAAATCAAATTTTTCTTTTAACTAAATTTTTTTACAAGTGGATAAACAGTACTCTCCTGCTATCTGCTGTCGTGACCGGATTCAGGAATGTATGTATGTATGCAAGGGTGTATGTGTCTATGTGCATATATGTATGTGACATGTATGTGTGTATACACACATGTACATGTCACATACATATATCCATGAACATTTTTATTTTTATTTTTACCTCGATCAATTGATTAGTATTTTACTGTGTTTTAAATCTATTTAATTCATTTAGCATATAGCTTACTATTTTTGTTAATTTTTCTTGTAAATATTCAAATGTTGTATATTTCTCTTTTTTCACACATTTCATAGCAACTAAATTTATTTATGTTGAAGTTTTTGCGGAGCCGCAGTTTTTGGCAACTTTTTAGCGTGCATACTAAAATTTATCTGCTAATTTCCTTAATTTTGGAGCACAATGAGCAAAATTTTTTACCACATGGGTCTTTTTTCATTTGTTCTTACTACTTTACTTTAAACATGAACACATATTTATATACATGCATAGATGAACGCATACATTCACATATACATGCGCATACGTGAACACATAAACCTGTTTAAACCTGGTTCTGATAACAGAAGAGTACTCCCCAAAATAATTATTATATTTTTCTCTGTTAAAATACTAATAATTCATTGTAGAACATTTGATGAAGATTATTATTAATAAAGAACATATGGGTTGTGTAATGTGTATTTACCTAATACACAAAAATATGCTAAAAGTTGATTGAAAAATGTGCTCATTAAGGCTCACTAGTGCTGTACTAGTACAAATGAAACTACAACATTTACACTGCACTTTCTCTGATATCCATGAATCTAAAAGATTCTGGTGGTTTAAAACCAATGAATATGAAATAATAAAAAATATCAAGTATTTGCATGTAATTTCAAATTAGCGCATGTACTTTCAAAACATGAACAGTAAAAAAAATGTATTGAAGTACTGCTTAAATACAATGAAACAGTATGTCTTTTCATGGCTAGTAATGCAGTGAATGCGGATAGGAAGAGAGTATTAGGTGTGTTTGGGTTGCTGAAGATTATCATGTTGCAAGCTGTTTTCATTTGGTTCATGTTTTGAAATTTTTCCATGCAAACTATATATTTCTTTAAATCTGCAAGAAAAATTGTGCCCTATAGATTGCATCTGGAAGAGCTACTGCCCAACTATAATTTTTTCATTTCTTTCTAGGTATTCCACTTCAGTTTCCAAGTGCCTTTGCTGCCGTACATGGGCCTATTCCCGTGGACCAGCACACTCACGAAGGACGCTACCTTTGGGATCCACGAATACATCATCTTCACCATGGCACCCCTGGGTAAGCAGTACAGTTTGTATTTTTCCATATTATGCTAAAGATGCAGATACCTCTAAAGCAGGGATGCCCAACCATGGCCCAATCTGTAAAATTTTTTGCTTGTGGGAGAATTTCCCAAATTTTTGAAATTTGGCAAAAAAAGTGGTGAGTGCTTTTTGCTTTTAGATCAACTTATGTCTGTGAATCCTTTTTCACAAGCATCCTTAACTGATGAAAACCTATAATCAATATTAATTATGATGTGCAAATATAAGTATTGAGGCTGAGTTGAAGAAAAAAATTCGTGAAAGAAAAGAGACACAAATATTGCACTGATTAAAGTAAATATAATATTACCTAATTGTTACTACTTCTTATTGTTGTTATTTACATATAGTCATAAATCTTTAAGTATTCTATTGTTTATAAAATAATATTAATAAAATATTAATAAAAACTATAATAATAATAATTCATTTTGATACATTTTATAAATAATGCCTCCTACCAGATTAAAATTCATTTCTAGAGTGGCCCACAAAGTCTTTTGGCTGGACAGACCTGCTGTAAAGAATGTCACTTGTTGAATCAAAGTTAAGCTACTTAAGGATTTGTTGTTACTAAGAAATTCAAGATACTAGATTATAATGCATGTTATTCATCGAAAAATTATTCACAAAAGCCTAATTTTTATGTGTTAATTGGAATTTCAGACTACCACCTGCAAATAGCAACTCAAATCTCAGTGATCTGTCGATGCTTGCCCAAAGACGAGCTTCAGTGGGCAATAGCCATATGGAGAGCCCTGTGCATCTACCATATCGGATTAGTCCATACAGTATGGACCAGTTTTATGGTCCTTTACCTCCTGCTCCTCCTCCACCAGTCCCTGGGATTGGTTCTATGGAAAGTAGAGGTACGATTATTATTACACTCTATGCTTTTACATATAATATGTTAGTGGAATATTTTATGCACCATGCCATCAGTCTAAATGTTGGCATGGAACTTGGTGATCAGTGCAATAAACACGGCTGGTGCAAAGCATTTTCCATCCAGAGCAGTTTTAGCAGGCCCTAAATTCTGTTGCCCATCATTTTTTGAAACACTAAAAATTTTGCCATCCCTAAATTATGCTGCCTAGTGCCTCTTCTCATTTCTGTTGCTGCCCTTAAATTTTGCTGCAGGGTGCAAATGCAGTGGTAGCACCAGGTCTGGCACTTGCATTGGTAATCAATTAAAAATTATGAATAGAAAGAAAATGCTTGCAAGTAACTGAGGATAAAAAATTTAGGTGTAATTTAATTATGGTGATTAATTACAAATACAGTATATTTTCCTATGAAATGCTACTTGTACAGGGTTACTACAAGTCCTCTTCACTATGCAACTTAAACACATAATGATTGGTACAATTTCGCCAGGATGATTCACACTAAGTTCTAAATCAAAATTAATATCGACAAGGTAATGTATGGTACTTTTCTGTTATTGGAAGAGTACTCAGAAATGTATGTATGTATACATGGAAATACACACACATACATACATACCTACATACATGTTATAATTTAATGTGTAGGAGTCGGATACTTTAACAGCTTGCAGTCTTAGGTGGCTGAGTGGAAAGATGATGCTGACAAAAATTAATTTTGAGGAAGTCTCAGTCTTTATTTCATGCATATAAACATCTTAGTAGGCACTTATCCAATTGTAATGAAATACGATAATTTTTATATACACTGGTTTTTTAAAAGTAAGCTGTAAGCATTTGAGTAACACAGTGTTGATGGAGCTGAAGTTAGGGAAAGGAAGAATGATGTTGCTATTGTACCAAGAGTATTTATACTAAGTCTGATGCATAAGTACAGCTAATCTGTGATTGGGTAATTTTAGCTTGTTATGTAACATGGAAGGATCTCAACTTTGGGAGAACAGATGAATTTAGGAGGAGAGCACCAAATCTAGAATAGTTAATTTTAAGGTTGCCAATTATTTTTAAAAGCAGCCATCATATTTTGTTGTATTTCTGAATCTGGTCCTAATAACAGAAGAGTACCTAATAAAATTAAACACCAATAAAGCAAATATATCTGCATATGTAACAAATAAACTTGGAATTTTTCAAGAATTTCTGGAATTTATTAATAATAATGAATAGAGCAGAGGAACATTTCTTATTGAATGTACACTTGAGCACCATTGAGATAGCATGATTTTGCACAATTTTGTGCTAGTATTGAACTAGATCTCTTTGGAAGATGGAATCCAAGATGTTTCACCTTTCTTCCCTTTTTACCAGCATCTTGAGAGGATTTGCCCATAATGTAACTAGCAATGGAACATTGATCATAATTTGGAAGCAGCCTTTGCTAACTGTCCTGATTGCTGCCAAAGCCTACATGACCCAAGCCTAGGACTGCAGATTATCCTACTTTCTGACTTACTACTGACTGTTAATACAGTCATATAATCCTACTTTAATTTTTCCAAATCCTGTTTTTTGCTTACATATAAGGACAGTGGGCATTAAAGGACCCCGAATGTATGCGGTGTTTTAGACCCTCAGAATATTTTTTTTTTTTGCTGTATCATCTTAATCCTTTGTTAAATGTATAATATGAACTGCAGTATAGTTAAAAAGGCCACCATTTTCTTTTATTATTGTTTGCAGAGGCCATTACTTGTCTTTATCTGAAGCCAGGAAAATTATAATATTTCTTTCTTTGCAATAAAAATGAACAATCTTTTGAGAAAAATTGACTTCTCTTATTGCTATCTGTACTCCTTTTTCTTGTACAAGACAAAACATTTAGGAATTTACTTGTACTGTTTTAATTTTGACTTAGGAAACTCAAAATTAATGTTATTCTTTAAGCATTGTAAATCATTATGTATCATACTGGGTATTGCATGACTTACAGCATGCAGATGTATTTCAAGGAACACAGTTCCATCTTACTTGCACTGTCTGTTCTAAATAAGTGCAATGAAATTCAACGTATTTTTTATTGTTTTGTACAAATTTACAATGAGATTTTTGTTAACTATCCATGCTTTGTTTCATTCATTATATGTAAGTTAAAAAAATAAATTCCATTGAATTCAGGTTTACCATTTCATGCAGAATACTTGCAACAGATGGCAGCTTTAGGGCAGAGGTGTATGCTTGGAGACTGTCATTCCAGCCCCCAGTACCCTGCTGAATCACTTTTAACATCCGAAGGTCAGTTTTTTCCATTGCTTTCGTGTAAAAGTTTCAACACTTTTACCACGTTAACTTTGTAATGTTGTCAGATTTCTTAAGTTGTAAAAACGATATCTCGTTATTACTTCAAATTATACAAATAACATAGTAATTTTAATTATTATTAATAAGATTTTTTGTTAATTTATTGGACCAATGATTAATCACCAGTTTTGATCATTGATACCAACAAATTAGCATTGGTGAGAAATAATTCATTTGGCAATAATGATGTTTATTGCCAAATGAATATAGCTAACCATGACCAAGTAAAAAGAATCATGAATTCTTCATTCATAAGAAATCCTTTAAAAAATATTGTTATTAATTCAAATTCAAAATGAGGCTATTCAAAGAACAAAGTCATGCAAATTTTCTAAAAGGGACATATGATAGGCACAGCTTAATAACCACAAAAGAGGTGCACTATGAAACACTGGCAGGAAAAAAAATGACTTTGCACTAGTAACTAGTTAGTTGTTTAAAAAAAATCTCATTCCTGACAGTGGTAAGCTTCTACTGGCAATTTATAGACACCTGAAAAATAAGTTAAAATAAGACTACCCTTCCTCCTGAATATGATCCTAAAACCTTGGCAACACTCTAGGTGCTGTGTTTCACCAGTAAAATTCACTAAGTACCAATTTTTCTTTCTTAGGATATTACATTTCTGCAATCCTGAGTATGTGCGTGTGCCTTTTAAACTTGTATGTTGTAGATGTGTATGATGTTTGTTATAATAAAATTTAATAATTGAAATTCTGAAATGGTACTTTAAATAATCAAATTTTAGGATCACATTTAGCAAGCCCTCGGCCTGGACCACGACATGCACGAAAAAGAGCACTGTCTAACTCGCCATACTTATCTGATTCATTGGATCTTGGATCCATGATTCGATTTTCACCTAATTCTTTAGTTTCGTCATATATGAATGGTTCTAGAAGTTCAAGTGCCAGTGGTTCTTATGGTCATCTTTCAGCAGGTAATTCATTTTTATGTTTGTGAATAATAATTTTTGTGATTTGATAATTTATTTTGATTTTTGTGAAATTTTAATGTAGTACATCTTATTAACATCCATAACTTATAGTAGATTTTAACTAAAATTCAGATCAAGACCTTATTTACACAAGAGCAAATTGGGCATAAATCTCATGCCTTCACTTTTAAGGATCCTCCATATCTTTCTGTAATGGCTAAAGTATATAAAAATTTAAAACTTCTTTTTTGAAAATTTTTTTAGGTTTTTAAAAATGTAAGCTTAGAAATAAGAACAAAACTTAAATTAATTATTTAATTTTTTTTATATCTTTCTCTAAAAATAAGAAATTGAATCACTGTTTTATGCTATCATTTGGAATTAACAAAGCTTCAGTTTGTTAAGTTAATGCCATTATGTGATTACTACATCTGAAGCTCATGATGTCACTATAGGGTCAGCTGATTATTGTAGGCATGGTTTTATATTTGATTATTAAAATAATGCAACTGTAATTTAACTAGTTAAGTGTTTAATCAAATAAGCATCCTTTATGGCACTGTTTTGATTTAAAATATATAGTCTGATACACGTAACAAATTAAAATCATATAAATAAAACATAGAAATTGTTTTGTTTTGTTTGTTTGTTTTGTTTAAATAAATTCGTAAATTACTTAATTATTTTACAAAATACTGTATGTTAATGGCAACAAAGAAAAAGAGTTAAAAGTCAAGGAGCCTTGATAAGAGGTTTTCCTCAAGCCTCGGGTTTTCAAAGTTGAAATTTTTTTATGAACACTAAAAATATTAAACAAATTAAAAAAGTTTGTTTAATCTTTACCTTAAATCACTGTATTTTCTTATCATTATTGAATTCTTATAAAATAAGTTATTAATGTGTGAAAATGACAATTTCATGTCATTAAAAATGTATATAAATTAAAAAAATTATAAATTATTGACCAGTGATTAAAGTAATGCTTTAATTTTTAATATTTACCATATAAATGCAGATTGTGCATCATAAAATGTAATGAATATCTCCTTTTCTGATACAATTAAAACAACTGATTCAGCAAAATGAAGTGTGCTTAATAATCACAGGAATATTGCACAATTTCATATTCTGCATGTTTAACTATGATGAATTTCAAAAGGCTTGTACTTAATGTAATATAATTCATAACATAGATAATCAGAATTCTATTCTGAACTAGTTTTATTTCCATTACATTAGTAAAATCATGTGAATTATGAATGTAAAATTATGATTTAAAATGTAAATTGCAATAAGGTTACACTTGTTGTGTAAATACACATTGCAAATAGACTTCATTATTTTGCTTTTAAGATTAATATATTTTGAAACACTTTATAGAATTCAAATTAAATTATTTGTGATTATTTTAGTATAGTGCTTATAAAGTTAAAACTTAATGTGCATTTTTGCAATTTTAACACCCCAAATTTATCAGTTAGTAACAGGTTATACTCATTGTATTCTACATTCCAATTACTTGTTTATCAGATAGAAATAGTTACAGCATATTATGGTTTATCAGATAGAAATAGTTACAGCATATATTATGGTAATACATGGTTCTATGTCAACATTTTAATCAGAGTTAAAATATTTTTTATATCATAATTACTTTTATATAAGCATCCATAGTCAAGCAATCTTATTTAAATTTTATCATGTCTGATAGCTTATATGCTTTATTAGAAAATCCAATATTAGAAGCAATTTGGAAAAATTTGAATGCACAAAATTTTGTTCAATGTTAATATATCTTTTGACTAAAAAAAATTTTTAGCAATATGTCATGGAAAAAATTGTTATGAATATTCAATTCAACATTTGCTGTGTTAAACTGAAGAGTTTTTGTCATTATTTTGTAAAATTTAAAGCTTTTGAAAATATGCACTGGAACAGCTCTTTGAAAAATATACTTTTGGAAATAATTACAATTTTATTTTATAAAAGTATAAAAAAATTATAAGTCTTTGAAAAGAATACTTTTGAAATAATTAAATTATTGTATACTAATAAAAGCATGAAAAATTACATCTACTATTATGGAACTTCACCTCTATAACCTTTTTCATATGAAACAATGTTTTTAAGAAGTTCAGATAGCTTAACCATTAAGGCATTTATTATGTAAAGCTAAATATTTATCATTTTTACATAAAAAATTTCCTTTTTGATTGTGCCTTTATTTTTAATAATAGTAAAGGAGAAAACATAATAATGTTTCAGATATATACTATATGTCTGACAACATAATAAGTTTTAAATGAATATTTTTATATAAATTAATATATTTAAATAGGTACTCTAAGTCCAGCTTTAGGGGTACCTCAGCAGTCTCCTCATTTCCATCATCTTATGAGACAAGGTGGCCCAATGATAGTTCCTTCAGCTTTTGCTACACAACCCCTAGTCGGTTCTTTTGGTTCTCTAATGCCTAACAAACTGGACTGTTTGGTAAGTTTTTTTTTAAAGTAATTTTAAACATACTGTAATGTAACTTCTTTCTTTATTTATTTTGTATGTGTATAGCTCAATAAGATTATAATATAATACAGTACAAAGTCCGTAATCCGGACTCGTCAGAACTTCGGCAATTCCGGATTAGAGGTTTTTCCGGATTATAGATCATCAATTTAAATCTGGTAAGATGGCATGCAGAAATAATACAGTTGAAAATATGAAACCGTAATTTATGAAATAAAGAGCAATCATGATCTAAAGAATATCAAAATTTACAAAAAAAAAAAAAAAAAAGCTTAATATTTATTTGTTTACTTTAGTAAACATTTCTATCAATGTAAGTTGTTTAAGTAGCTTCATTTTTTGTGCTAATACTTTCTCTTTAATTCTATAAACAAACATAATTTCTTGTTCAGTTACAAAGTTTCACTGTTCAAATCCTGTAATTGCTGTGTCGAGAATTACCGACTAACTTGTCAATCGAAATTTTTTCGTTTTCAATAACATTCTCTGTTACTTTCTTCACTATCGGAAGCGCGCATGGGTAAATGCTTTACTGGCTTTGCGCGTGCAACAAACGCGCATGTGTTATGCAAGTTTGTGGCTTTGAGGTCCAGATTATAGATCATTCCCCATGAAGAGGTTTTTCGCTTGGTTTCCTGGAAACAGGTCACCAAAAGATAACATCAAGCTCCTTGATGCCTGCAACAAGGGCCTTGATGTTAAGAAGATCGCCATCAAGTTATCCCTGGAGACGGAGGTAATACCTTGGTGCTGGGAGTAGAACATGAACTTATGGATTATCTGGAGGCCCAGAATTTCAAACTTTTTTGTGGTGCCCGTGGCTGTGTACAGTTGAAGGAACCAAGGCAACAGGAGAAATCAATTCCTTCGCCCAGGGATCCTCCAAAGAAACAGTTGACGGAAGAAAGGGAGACCGAAAAGGAGTCGGAACCAGAGCTTTCTTTGGAGGCTCTGGAGAAGACACCTGAATAGGTCTCCCTTGTCACTACTTCCTTTGAAGTAGTATGCTAAGGATGCGGCTTTTAACTAAGTCTCTCCTAAAATCCTTCAGGGTAAGTTCTTTTCTTTCATTTAACCTGTTTTAATGGTTAAGGTTAGTCAGTTAAACTTGCAACATAGCAGAGCAGCTTCATATAATTTAGCTGCTCAATTAGGTAAGCAAGACACTTTTGTTTGCATTAATTCAAGAACCTTGGGTGTACAAGGGTAAAATCCTTGGTAGGCCCATGAACGCGCACTTCTTTTTCGACAGAGGGACCTGATAAAGATCTAGAACTAGCATTTACATTTCTAAAATATAAAGGCTATGAAATTATCCCAATTTACATCAGAGGACTTAACTGCTATTGTAATTAAGGACATAAACAGTTCACTGAGAGGAAACATTTGTTTTTGCTCAGTTTACATGGCTTATGACCTTAACATTCCGCAAGAATTTATAGATCTTGTGAGCTTCTGTGAAATAAACAATATTCCTATGGTTATTGGTGGTGATGTTAACGCTCACCACCTGTCATGGGGCAGTTCTGATACTAATCCTAGAGGAGAAAAACTCATGGAATTTATAATGAATACCAACCTAACTTGGGTAAATAGGGGAAATCGCCCCACCTTTGTTAACAGAAGAAGAGAAGAAAGTCATTGACCTCACATTAACTTCATCTGATATTTATAACCTTATTGAGAATTGGCATGTAAGTGACAATCCCTCACTTTCTGACCATCGCCTTATACAATTTTGTATAGAGATGAATTCCAGAAATTCCAGTTGAATATTTCAGAAACATTAAAAACACAATTGGGACCTTTATAAGGATTTCCTGGTTTCTAATGTTATTAACCTTCAGGTTTAGACAATAATTGTACAGTCGAGGAGCTTGATATTCAAGCAAACAACTTGACAAATATCATTATTGAATCTTATCATGCATCATGCCCTCTCAAACGAAGGAAGTACTCTCCTAGCAAGAGAGTTTGGTGGACCAAGGAGCTTGAAAGCCTCCGCCTAGAGGTTCGGAGAGCGCACAGGAAGCTGTCAGAAATAAATCTGAAGTTAACTGGTCTAACTTCAAAATTCTACAAAGGAAATTTAAAAGTGAAATCAGGAAAACTAAATACAACTCATGGAGATCGTTCTGCACAGATATTCTGTCCTACCATGAGACTGCCAGAGTACATAAGATTTAAAAGATCTCAGGAGTCTCAACTCTCGGTTATGCGACCTGATGGCAGTTATACTATAAACCCTTTGGATACACTTTCGACCATGTTGAATTTTCATCTTGGGAGGACAGAAGTGTCAACCTCTGACCCCCAGGAAAATCCTATTGGAACTACTTCATAATCACATTAGATCTAGATTTGGATTTTGCTAAGAACAATTGTGAAACTTTTGAAAAGGCTAAAGCGGCCCTTGATGTATTTCTTCACTTTAAATCTTCCAGGGAACGATGGCATTTACCCAATTCTGCTTTAGAAAGGCTGGGATATTTTTGGTCCACATTCTCGTGGACATATTCAGGTCCAGTTTGAGTTTTAGGATATGTTCCTAAGGTCTGGAGAACTTCACGAGGTGTGTTTCTCCTAAAACCAAGGAAAAGATACATATGAGAAACCAAACTCATTTTAGAATGATCTACGCTAACATCCTTCCAGCTTAAGCTGTTGGAGCGATTGATTTTCTGGCACCTCCAGTCAGATAATAAATCTGAAACATATCTTTGGCTTAGACCAACATGGTTTTAGGCCTGGCTTCTCCACTGAGTCGGCCTTACACCAACTCGTGTGGAGAATAGAAAAGACAATTATAGACGGACACTTTGCCATTGGGATTCTACTGGATATTGTAGGAGCCTTTGATAAACATCGGTTTCGAGAAAATACATAAGGCCCTTACTGGAAGTCATATTCACCCTATGATAACTAGATGGGTCATCTTCATGATTAAAAAACAGGAATATCTGTGTTAGTCTCGCTGACTATGAAATAAAGAGAGATATTACTAAAGGGTGTCCGCAGGGTGGTATTCTTTCTCCGTTCCTGTGGAACCTGGTTTTCGACTCACTGTTAGTACTTCTACGGGAGGAAACTGGCATGTCACAGGCTTATGCAGATGACCTTATTGTGTTATTACAGGGTTTCGATATCGGAACCCTTACATAATCAAGCTCAGCAGAATCTTGAATAAAGTTTCACACTGGGGTGAAACAAATGGCCTATCTTTCTCTGCTGAAAAATCTGAGGTCATAGTTTCACGTGGAGAAAGGAAATGGAAACTGGCAGATTTATATCTGGGTCAACCAGATTATTAGGCGTAAGGAATGCGTTAAATACCTAGGATGTTACCTGGAATAGTAAACTTACATGGATCACCCATATAAAAGAAAAGGTACAAACAGCCACAAATGTACTAGTACTTTGTAGGCGAATCGTTGGTAAACAATGGGGCCTTAACCCAAAATCTACTCTATGGATTTATACTGCCATTGTCCGGCCAATGCTTTCTTACGGATGCGTGGTCTGGATTAATGTTATTAACAAAAGCTCATATTTAAACATTTACAAAAGGTGCAAAGACTTGCTTGCCTAAGCATTAGTGGGGCTTTAAATAGTACCCCTACTGCTGCATTAGAATTTTACTGCAAATTCCACCCTTGAAATTATTCTTGAGCGGAGAAGCAATTAAAGCCATGTATAGATTGAATAAAAATGGCACATGGTGCCAAAGGACAGGTTTTGGTCATAAAAGCCACCTGAAAAGCCACATTGACATATGCCTGGACTTGGGCAATGAGATCCATATAATCTATATGCCCAAAGATGCAATTACTAAAACAATAGTTCCAGATAAACTATTTTCAACTCATATACCAAAAAGGAATGAGATAGAATCTCTAATTGACCTAATTCCAACAGGCTCAATTGAATGTTACACAGATGGATCAAAATCCAACTTCACTGGAGCTGGAGCTATTATAAGGACCAAGGGATCTGAAGATTTCATTAGATTTCATCTATACCTTGGTAAATTTACAACTGTTTTCCAAGCCAAGGTTCTGGCGATCAATATGGTCGCCAAGGAGCTCTTAGCTAAAAATACAGTTAATAAGTATATATATATTCTCTCTGACAGCCAATCAGCCATCCTTGCCCTGGCTAATCGTGTCAAGTTACAAAACTGTGTTTTGAACTGTACTCAAGATCTCAATTCTCTGGCTCAGGCCCATAATACCATTAGTTTAGTCTGGGTCCCAGGTCATTGTGATTTTGCTGGAAATGAACTAGCTGATAAAGTAGCTAAAGATGCTTCGCAACTCCCCATGTCTGGCCCCAGAAACCATTTTACCCAGTTTCATATCAAACGGTTAAAAAAGAAGTAAGAAGCTGGATAAAGAACAAACATGATGATATATGGTCTAAACTTCCAGACTGTGTTCATTCTAAATTGGTGCTCAATACACTTAACTTTTCAGGTAAACTCATACACCTCAGTAGAACTAACTTACGCCAGGTAATTCAAATTGTTACTGGACATGCTTATCTAGCTAAGCATCTCCACAAATGTGGTCTTGTTGAATCTCCTCTCTGCCCAGCTTGTGGAAAAGAAGAGGAAACATCGTTTCACTTTTTGGGACGATGTCCGGTGTTCTCTGTCCCTAGAAACAAATTCCTTGGGTTTCCCTATATTACCTTTGATCAAGCCCTTTTATACAAAGGGCTCTCTGGCATAATAGGGTTTCTGATGTATACTAAACACCTACAGGTAAGGTGAATATGGAACCACAAGAAACAAGCTTTGAGACGCCCTGTGAGTTTTTTTTTTTTTTTTTTTGAAAAGAAACTATGCAGGGATTTCCCTCTCATAGCTGTGTTTTGGAATATAATGATATCAAATCTTTATACACTACCCGGCCATTTGGCTTGAGAATGCACCTCTGCCCTCCTTATTTATTTATTTATTTGACTCTCCATCGCACTCTTGTTTGGTCAAGAATTGCGTTTGGTGGTTTGGGGAGGGATTGAATCGGTTTTCCATCCAATAGGGAAGTTTTTACGATCCAGCCGACACCTTGAACTTAGAGATGGGATCTTTTGCTGATACTATAGATTTGGTGTCAGTTTGAGATCTTATCTATTTATTATTTACCTTTTACGGGAGTTACCATTTAAATCCCTTAACTTAAATGATCAAATGGTGGAAGAGTAATGGGCAATTTTGCCTAAACTCCTTTCCTTCTTTTCATAAAGAAGGAAGCGCCCTATTGTTATGTTATGTTATAGATCATTCCGGATAATGGACATCTAGATTAGAGACTTTGTACTGTAATTAACTTCATGATAAGTCCCCTGAAAAAGAAACCTTCAAAAATTAATTTGTCAAAAATTCAGACATGCTAAATGGCAGCAAAAATGAAATAGACTTTAAAAGAAAAAGAGGTGGAGAGAGAGAACAGCTTCAGGCAGGGTTTTCTTGGATGGTGGTGGTGGGGGAATTGAAAAAGGTAAGTATGATGTATGATCTGTAGGTTCTCTTCTTCATATCAATAAAAATGTACAACTGTCAATGAAATCCAAGGAAACTGCATTTCTGGTTTAGAAAAATAAGAAAAATGGCAAATTTAAATAGTATTTGAAGTAAATTTTAAGCTTTCTTTTTGAAACTAGTTCTGTAACAAAATAATATAAAAATAATCATGTTAAAACTGAAAAATGAAGTTTTGAAATACCTGAATGAAAGGTGAAAGTAACAATAAATTATCAATAGAAATAAAATAATAATATACAGTCAAAAGTCTTTAATCCGGACTCGTCGGGACTTCGGTGATTTCGGATTATTGATTTTTCCAAATTATAGATCATCAGTTTAAATCTGGTAAGATGGCATGCAGAAATTATAAAATTAAAAATATGAAACCGTAATTTATAAAATAATGAGCAATTATGATCTAAAGGGTATCAAAATTTACAAAAAAAGAGCTTAATATTTATTTGTTTACTTTATAAACATTTCTTTTAAACGCACGCATGCGTAAAGCATACCTTACGCATAGCCGAAATTAGAAAATTGCAACCAGAAAACTATTTGATTTGTATTCGTGATATTTATAATGACGAGGAATTAGATTTAAATCATATCAAAGATGGAGTACATCGAGATTAAATACTACATTTGGTAAGGAATTATAAGCCGAATAAAATAAAAACATCTGCCCTGAAGATAACGATAGTGCTGACAGATCAACTTCCAGTTCATTGCCGCCGCGACGTCTCCCCCTCCCCGCCCGGTGCAGAGCAGCATGAAATTGATAAACTTTCGGAACGGTTAGATAAACAAAGGATATGGCTTTATCCATTTTTTTTTTTTGTAGCAATTCCACTTTTTGTTTGATGGACATCGAAACATACTTCGTTTTCTAGATCCTTTGGGAGCTCCAGCATCGGAAATTCTATTTGGACATAATCGAAAGTTCAAGCGTACTTTTATAAAATTGCTCTAAGAGTCTGCAAAAAATAATAAGCCGGATCCAATTAGAAGATTAAGGAACAACGCAATCATCAACATTAACTCAAATAGATAATTAGATAATTTTAGCTTATACCGTCCGTTATACATTAAACGCGCACGCGAAAACGTATTCTGCGCTTGCGCAAACGCATATGCGCAGTCGTAAATGCCTTGCGCGCACGCGTAAAACGCCTATGCGCATGCGTAGAAAGATTTTAGCTTTGAGGTCCGGATTATAGATCATTCCAGATTATGGGTGTCCGAATTAACGACTTTTGACTGTATAGAAGTACAATACAACACTACGAATTGTTATTATTCTCAGGTCATTCTAAGTAGAGTGCAAAGTACTGTATTTTATGATAGCTTTCAACTAAAATGCTTATATGCCTTGAAATGCATAATCAATGGCAAGACCAGTGTTGCCATGCCAGTTGGCAGAATTTAGGAGCTGCAAAATTTTGGAGACACAAGCTGGCTGATATTACATTAGGTAACAGGAAATCTAGTGCTGGCCTTGTATGTAATCAAAACATTTTATTTAGGGAAAAAAAAAACGAATATAAATAAAGTTTGTATTCTATCGTAATGCATAATAGTAGAACAAAGTCCGAAATCCAAACGTCCCATATCCATACCTCTTGACGACTAGCAAAAAATAAATCAATAATTTTTTTTTTTTTTTTTTTTTAAGAATTCTTTTTCTTTCCCTTACAAAGTTACTCAAGAAGTGGAGAATATAATGCACAAGAAAGAGCAGATTCTGCTTTAAAAAATCGGTTTTATGACTAAAAGTAATTTTTTTCTTCACCAACTGAGATCTATATGTCATTTTTAAACACTTGCTGGCTAGGGAATCACACCATGGCCAGTGACAGTTAAAATATCATTATAACAGTTTTAGTAAATAAAAACGCCCTCTAGTCTTTTCCTGAAATTGAACATTCATCAATCAGCCAATGGATGCCTGAATTTTTCATGCATTCAACTACAGATTCAAAGCAGCTCTTTGTAAAATTAATGCAGTAGTAAGACTGTCAAAAGAATTCTAAAAATATTTTAATATAAAACCTGATGTATAGGACATTGCATTATCATGACAGGGCATGTCTGCAGGTATTTTTAGGTTTGGTTAAGTTAATTTGAGTATGGCAATGCACTAGAGAACTCTGTCTGTGGGGATGGACATCTAAGCGGCTCATGTGCATGCTATTGATAGGGAAAACCATGATAACGCTTATGTAAGCTCATTCACCTGGCATTACCAGTGTTCAGTGACTTTAGTGCTTGGCCATTGGTGGGTTTTGCAGACATTTTTAAAAGCGTTTAACATAATTTATACTCAGCTACCAAATTTCATGATGATGATGATCATGAGAGTCAAGAATATGAAGGTTTTCAAATATCACAAGAAAAAGCAAAATTTTACAATTAATGGAATATGAGAAGAAATGTCAAATGAAGATGATATAATTGATATAATTGATGATATAATTATAACATTGCTGTAGCAATGTAATTGAATTATCAGTCAATGAAACAATAATTATATCTGGCATGGTATTAAATCTAGAAAATATCACAATTTCAGCTTTAATTTCAAAAGGTGATGATACAGGAAAAAAGAAAAAAAAATTATAGAAAATACCTTCTTAAAAGAAATATAATAAAAAATTGTTTTATTTTATATTTCTCTGTATTACCTTACTAGATTTTAACTGATCACGTAAATTCTGAAAATTTCTGAAATCCAGAAATGCCAAAAATTACCGATTCTGGATCTCAAATTGTGTACTGTACTGTTTTAAATAGAAATGAATTATCATTGCATTATATAATAAAATATCCAGAATAATGTGTATTCATTGATTTAAAGGATTATTGTTGATATAACATATGCATTTTTAATTCCAGCCCGATTCATCTGGTGGCCGAGAAACTGCTTGTAATATTGTAAGTAGTACCGTTGATGGTGAAGATGCCCAGCATCTTAAAATAAAAAAGGAAATATGTCGCAGGGATATGCTGAATGATGATGACAGGGATACTGTTGCTGACATGAAAGACGAACCAGGTGATTTTATCGAAACAAATTGCCACTGGTACGATTGTGGAAAAGAGTTTCTAACACAGGATGAACTAGTGAAGGTTTGTAATATTTCTGTAATGTCTTTTGTAATTTGCTTTTCCTGTTTATTTTATATGTTTTAAGTAACAGATAAGTTTTTTAGAAATGAACAGTCAAGTAATAACTCTAGTTATTAAAATTTAGTATCTTTTTAAAGTTATTAAATGATGTAGAAATAAAATTAAATATTTTCTGTTAATAATGATACCTATTAATAGTATATATTAACTATTTCCATTAATAGCATATAAATGATGACCATATTCATGGAAATCGGAAGTCCTTTGTATGTCGCTGGAAAGACTGTTCTCGGGAAGAGAAGCCTTTCAAAGCTCAATATATGTTAGTAGTGCACATGAGAAGACATACTGGAGAAAAGCCACATAAATGCACAGTAAGTATATATAAATTACTCAGTGTTTTCAAAATTATGTAAAGAACAAATTCTAGCTTAAAAATATGCAAGAAAAATATTAATTTTTTTTTTTTTTTTTGTACTAGCCTTCTAAAACTTATAAATAATTTTGGGGTAGAATAATTTAAACTTTTTTAGAGACATGACAAGAAAAAGTATTCTGAATATTTTAAATATTATATGAGTTAAAATAAATCATTTAAATTTGCTATAAATTAATTTATAGCCAAATAAAGATAAATAGTAAAAAAGGTCAATGAAGTTGAATTTATGAACTACTCACATACTTTGCATATTAAAATTTTTTCAAATATTTTAATATGCATATAGTGGCTATAAAGCCATTAAAAACCCAATTTTCATTAAATAGATATTTAAATTTTGTAATACTTAACAATAGCAATATGTGTAAGTAATAATGAAATGTTTTTAATTTTTATAAAATCCATATTCTAAACTACTATCTTCATTTTAGTTTGAAGGATGTTCAAAAGCATATTCACGTTTAGAAAATCTGAAGACTCATTTGCGTTCACACACAGGGGAAAAACCATATACATGCGAGTTTCCTGGTTGCACAAAAGCATTTAGTAATGCTTCAGACCGAGCAAAACATCAGAATAGAACCCATTCAAATGCAGTAAGTTTTTATGCTTTATGTATTGTACTGGCAGTTGTTATTTTGATTTGTTGAATACAAAGAAAGACTATGTGTTTCAAGAAATATTTCTTTAATTTTGATATCAGAACACCTATAACTTCTTCATAACATACATTATGTGCTACATTATACTACTATGGTTTTATCTTCTGTATGATGTAGTAATTTGTTGAGATGTTGCAACTACATGCATATAAGATCTTGCATTAAGTGAGCTTGTATTGGTGTAGATTTTAAATAAAACTGCAAAAACTTATAAAATAAAAATAAATAAATGAAACATGAAACAGTTTCATGAGCAGTCTGACATAGCTTTTATTTAGGGATAAATTTTTGCTATGTTGGTTAACTATTTTTGCTATGTTGGCTAAGTGGACCTATGTTGGTTAGCCCTTGAAATTGGTAGAGTTTTAGCTAGAAACTCTGCCAATCTAAGTTTGCTTTTTTCCTGATTTTATATAAACTATATGTTGTTTAACTAACTGGATGATTTAAAAGCAATGAACTGACCTCTTAATAAATTGTAGTTTTTTTTTAATTGTATATCTTCTTAAAAATATATATCTGATCTATATAATCCATACAAATTATAAAAAGAGATGCGAAGAATAGAGCAAATAAGATACTAAATTATGAGAGACTGAGAATGCAAATTAAAATATAAGCTAAATATTAGAGTGAAACTGATGTAAAAGGATATTTAGGGAATATACTTTTGAGATTTGCTTCAAGTGTTGAAAGTATTTTAAGAAATATTTTGCAGAAAGATCTGCAGTTTTAAATGGTTTTAGGGGGACTCTTGCATTAAAAATATAATAAAAAGAGGTCTGAGATGATATACAGTCAAAAGTCGTTAATTCGGACACCCATAATCCGAAATGATCTATAATCCGGACCTCAAAGCTACAAACTTTCTGTGCATGTGTCAAGCTGACGCATGCGCATAAGACCTTTACGACAGCAAATATGCACGTGCGCATGCACATAATACATTTACGCATGCAGCGTTTAATGTATAACGTAACGGTATAAGCTAAGCTAAAATTATCTAATTCAGTTAATGTTGCAGATTGCGTTGTTCCTTAATCTTCGAATTGGATCCGGCTTATTATTTTTTGCAGACTGTTAGAGCAATTTTATAAAAGTAAGCTTGAACTTTCTATTATGTCATATAGAATTTCTGATATATATTTACTAATATGTAAAGGATCTACAAAGCGAAAGTATGTTTCAAAGTCCATTAAACAAAAAGTGGAATTGCTGCAAAAAATATAATGGATAAAGGCATATCCTTTGTTTATCTAACCATTCCGAAATCTGTTTGTAAATTTCAGGCTGCTCTGAGGCAGGGGGGCGACGCCTCGGCGCGCGATGAATTGGAAGTTGATCTGTCAGCACCAGAGTCGTAGCTAGGGTTTTCAGCGCCCAGGGACAACTGAAGATTTTGCGCCCCCTACTGCTTGCCAAGGATGGAAAACATTTAATTCTAAAATGTCGTAACATCAGTTTGGTGCCCCTTGGATTCTGCGCCCGGGAACAGATGCCCCCCTCTAGCCACGCCCCTGGTCAGCACTATCCTTATCTTCAGGGCAGATGTTTTTATTTTATTTGGCTTATAATTCCTTACTAAATGTAGTATTTCATCTCGATGTACTCCGTCTTTGATATGATTTAAATTAAATTCCTCGTCATTATAATTCGCTTCCGATAGAGAAGAAAGTGACACAGATTTTATTGAAAACGAAAAAATTTCGATTGACAAATTAGTCAGTATTCTCGACACAGCAATTATAGGTCTTGAACAGCGGAACTTCGTAACTGAACAAGAAATTATGTCTGTTTATAGAATTAAAGAGAAAATATTATCACATAAAAATGAAGCAACTTAAACAACTTACATTGAAAGAAATGTTTAATAAAGTAAACAAATAAATATTAAGCTTTTTTTATTTTGTTGTAAATTTTGATACCCTTTAGATCATAATTGTTCTTTATTTCATAAATTACGGTTTCATATTTTTAATTTTATAATTTCTGCATGCCATCTTACCAGATTTAAACTGATGATCTATAATCCGGAATCGCTGAAGTCCCGACGAGTCCGGATTAACGACTTTTGACTGTATATGAAAGAAATATGTCATCAGTTCACAAAAGCTTTTAATTCAGCTTTATGTGTTTATAATCCCTGAATATATAGAAATATTTAACATTTAGAATAATATTTAACTGACTAATAATTTTGATAATTTTCAAATTAAAAAGGAAAAAAAAAAGACAGCTGTTAGCCTAAGAGCCCCCCTCCCCCGCCAAAGAGTTGAATATATTTTTGTGTAGTTTTTCAGTTTCTGTTGAATGGAAAAATATTTATTCATTTCAGAAACCATATGCTTGTAAAGCACCTGGCTGCACTAAAAGATATACAGATCCCAGCTCTTTGCGCAAGCATGTAAAAACTGTTCATGGAGCTGACTTTTATGCCAATAAGAAACATAAGGGTGGTGAAGGCAAAGAAGGTGATAAAGATAGCCATGCTGATGACCAGCATGGAGATCAAAATAGCATGGAAGGAAGTCCGAATTCTGAGGGAAGTAACTTGACTCATCCGGGAAGTTTATCTAGCCCAAGCATTAAGTCTGAGGTAAGTAAAACCTATAAGTACATGTATATAAATACGTTACTATTAAAACTCTTATCACAATTTCAATGTTCCCAAATACTAATAAATTGAGTATTCAGCCAACAAATAGAATGTTTATAAACTTAATCAGATTAAAGTGAATACATTTCATACCTATGATTTCTTTTTCATATCTGTATACAACCTATATTGAAAATTCATCTAGAATATTGATGAAATTAATGCTTCAGGATTCACCTCGTGGAAACCAAGAAGAATCAGTTGATGAAACTGGACCTCCAATTAGTGACAACAGCATTTCAACAACCAGTGGTCATGCAGATAATGATACTGTTTGGGATGTGGCAGATATTGTGGAAGAGGAGGTACTATTTTTATCTAGTAATAATATATACATAAAAAAATTTCTTTGCTTAAAATGTAGCTATTGAGGAGGTACTACTTTTATCTAGTAATAATATATACAGAAATAAAATTTCTTTGCTTAAAATGTAGCTATTGAGTTTATCTCTTTTAAATTCAAGAGTTGTATTGAAGTAACATATTACTATTCTTTTTATGCAATGCAGCTATAAATTTTTTATAAGTAAAAGATTGTTTAATGGTTAAGTTACTGTATGGAAATATATGAAAAACAGATACATTACTTTTTAGAATATGCAAAACATGCTATATAGGTGATCATAATTATTAGTTAATTAAATTATGATATTTGATTATCGGTATGAAAATTAGTAGGTGCTAATTATTTTGAGAAGTACACTTTAAGTTCATTTTCTAGCAGGAGTTTTATTTACATGATCATAAAAAAGAAGTCGGAACAAAATTTTTGATATTGAATCAAATCATCATGGGAAAATGTGCAAAAAAACTAAATATCATATTCTTCAACTGTGTTAAAATCTTTTCATATTTACTCTTTGTTTTTCTTTAAATCTTAATTTTCTTAGAATAAGCACTACAAATAAGTTCTCAACATATGCCACTATAGTGAGGTCTATTTAAACAATAAATAATATTTACTGAGTCTTCTTTGTTACTATGGGCATTATAGTTCATTTAGGGAAAAAGTTACCAAATGTTATGCAGAAAAATTGATTTAATTGGTCAAATATTTAGCTTAGTTTTAATTTTTTAACTGTGATTGGGGGGGAAAAAAAAAAAAAAAAAAAAAAAGTTCAGAAAGTATTTCTTCAGGAGCAAGGAGTGGACTATGACTACTGAACACTGATTCAGTTTCTGGTGAAGAGACTGGTTGGTTGCAGGAGGTTCTCCATATGTGTAGCATGAATATAAGAGAAAATTACCATTTAGAAAGTTCTCTTCTTTGTGGAAATAGACTATTAGTCTACCATCTGCATTATTCTACCACCTGCTTTGCCATTATTAACTAAACAACCAAGAGCAATGATAATTTTTTTTTTTTAAATATATGAAGACACCTCCACCTTCCCATCAGATATTAATTTCAAAGAAAATATTATTTTTAAAAGTATTAATGTTTGAGTTTGCTGTGATATGATTTGTTGATTGTATCAAAGATCAGTTAATTTAATGTTAATCTTTAACTGGTATGGCAAAAAATTTGAGCATAACTAATGATCAAGGAATAAAATTCTAACTTTTATTTTGTCATTTTTAAAAAATAATTCAAAATTTTAAGATAAATTATATTAAAATATTCTCTAGGCCAATAAAAAATATCAGTATATAAGAAGTATCAGTATATAAGAAGCAATGCTTGGTTTACTAAGACAAGTACATACGATTTAAAAGCTATTAGAGGTGGCCAAAGTAAATTCTGGCTGTTTTGATTATACTTAACATGTCTCTTCTGCAGCTGCAATTTCATCATGAAAATAGCTTGCATGCAGTTTATATTTTTGTAAATAAATCAGATTACTGACTATCAATTAAATATCTCCTAAGAATAACTGATTAATTTACACTTTAACAGATCACATATTATGGACCACTTTAGGGAAAATAATTAAAACTAATATCTGTATTATAACTCAGTTTAAGGACCTAATAAATATGCAATTGTTCTAGATTCTTGAAGAAAGTATTGCTCTGGCTTCTTGTTCTGTGGGTGGAGGAAGGACAAAAGATGAAGGCAGCAGAAACACTAGCAGAAATCGTTTGAAAAGAATTCAAGCACAACTAAAATCTGCTAGCTCTTGGTTCCCCAATTTCCTGCCTTCCAGAAGAGGTAATGTTACATTTTAGTTAAATTTTTATTATTTTAGTAGTGCTTTTAAAACTGTGGTTTATATGTACTGTTTAGCATTAAATAGTATTATTTGGGTGTAACAAACTGGAATACAAACTAGATGTGAAAACGTATACTTACATGTGAATTTAAATCACCAAACCAAAAACAGCTGAAAAAGTTGCTAGCCAAAAATGACATCTTGCAGATGACAGCCATTCCCATTGTATATGCTCTGTTGCTAAGGTCATCCTTACTCTTTACAGCCTATCAATGGGAATTCTTTGAAACTTCTTCCTGAATGTGACATGTCGGTTTTGAAATTGTACAAAGTGCAGGAGCTTTTGAAGGCTTAGAATTTTAGATTCTCCTCCCCCCAAAAAACTACATGCAAAAAATTGAAGTGATCTGGCCAGTCATGTGACATTTTGAAATCTAGCTTACATGGTTTGGAAACAGGTTCTTCAAAACTGCCATGGAAGTATGTGATAAGAAAAATGTTTCATTATCGACTGGCATGTATTTTAAAGATACAGAATCTAAATACTGCTTTTAATTAATGCTAAAATTTACAGCTAGATTGATTTTTTAAATTTCAAATGCCTTTCTGCAAGCCAACTCCCTCAGCTAAAGCAGATGTCCCAGACAAAGACATTGCAAACTCAACCACTTTCAAAACATTGCAACATGAAATATCAGTCTTTTGAAACACGTTAAAAATTGCTTTCGACTTCTTTTCATTAGTATGTGGTACTTTTTCATAACTGGATCCACAGCTTACACTTTGGTTTTGAATTATATGGTTCAACAATATACATTCATCAAATCAGTCATCAATATTTGTGGAATCCTTATAATTTCATTAACAACTTGTACAATCTGTTCTAAATCAGACCAGGCAATTTCAGTTCGTAAAGTTATCCATTGAAACTTACTAACTTTATCAAAACTGGTTCTACACAACTATAAGTATTGAATACTAGAATTAGATTGATAAAATAATTGATTAAAAAGAGACAAGATAAAAATGACATACACAGTAACATTTATGAAATGGTGCAATTCACTGCCACATCCCGTGCTGTGATGTTTCTTTTTCTTTATATGAAATTACTGAATAATTAAAAAAAGCTAAAAATGTTTGTTAAACTTGTGCTTATGTTATTTGTAAGGTATATTTTCCCATAGAACTTTGTAATTTCAGTTGCTTGATAAGCTTCAGCAATAATGGGAAAGATTATGATTTTTTATTACATGTCTCTGTAAATGATTATTTCTACTATATGTTTTATTTAAATATGTATGAAAATAACATGCCCACTGGAAAAAAAATTAAGATAACTGACATAATTTAAAAAAAAGTTTCAAGTTAAAAAAAGCATAGGAAGAAGTAAATTAATAAGCAGAAAGTTAAATAGAAATAAATGAAAAGTAATATGTTCATTAGTGTTATGTTTCTGTATAACAAATTTTGTTTTCCAACTGGGAACCAGTATTTGTTTATTTTTTTAATTGCTTTAAAGGAAATGGAAACAGAAGAAATGTTCCTAACGTAATCACAGTTCAGAATGGTCCTAATGTTGCTACAACGAATGAAAATCTGAAAGTTCGAGAAAATAATCTACAAAATCAAGGTAATTAATTTTCATTTTCATGCAATATGGGTATCTTTATAATCAGTGTAATTACAATGCTTTTGTAAATGCTGCAGTATCCATGCTGCCCTATGTTAATCTTAATAATTAAATATGCTGAAAAATGTGAAAAATTCAGCATGTATTTTAAAGATACAGAATCTAAATACTGCTTTTAATTAATGCCAAAATTTACAGCTAGATTCAGATTTTTTAAATTTCAAATGCTAGAGTAGGTGGACACTTTTTATTCATTGTTTTTATGATAAGCATCTAAATATAGTATTGTTACGAAATGCCCTGTAAGATAACTATAAGATATAGATAAATTGAAGTAAGATAACTTCCCCGCAAAGCGGGTTTAGGGGTGCCAGAAAATGACAAAGGAAGACAGGGTTGCCATATTTGACAAGACATTACCCATTTGATGACAAAATTGGCGATATGCCATAGATAGATGGAAAACATTTTAGAACCAATTCTTACCAGTTTGGACCAGAATGTTCTCAAAGGCAGCCCAAAAGCTATATAAACCCTGCCTGCCTGCATGTAGAGTAGCAGTCAGTCAGTCTGGAGAGTGTCTCATGAGTTAGTGCATCATTGAATTTTACCTGAATTTGTTGAGCTCTGAGAACGACTGAACTGAGTCAGAAGCTCTACTCTAGTGTATCATCGAGTACATCGCGAGTTGTAGTGTGAACAATCTCAAAAGTATATTGAGTTCCGAGAACAACCAAACAGAGTCAGGAGCTGTACTCTGGTGCTTTCCGTGAAATTATCTTCACCGTTATAGCCTAATAGCCTGAAGGCGCGAGTTTCAAAATTACGCTGAGTTAGAACAACCGAACCGAGTTGGGAGCTGCACTCTGGTGCTTTGCCGTGAAGCCTGAAAGCTGTGTCGCTGATTGTTTCAGTATGCTTTATGTAGCTTTTGACGACTGTAAACGGGATTCTGGAGCTGTTCTGAGATATAGTGGCTAATAAATTGTGTTTTCATTCTTCATCAAGTGAATCTCTCCAAATCCTCGAACCCGCCCAAAAAATATATACATTCTATATGTCAATATAATTTTTTGCAGGAAAAATGAACATTTTAATTTATAACTGATAATAAATTGCATGAATATGATGATAAAAATCTCTCTTTCAAAATATAATTTAAAATATTGTAAAAATTATATATTGAATTTTACTATTAAATTGAAGCCTTTGTATCTATATACATATATATATATATATATATATATATATATTTCTTTTAAGGTTCTATGACATGTACCACAGATTTACAAAAGACTACTAGGCGTAATAGCGGTAGTAGCAGTACTGTTAGTTCCTTCTACAGCAGTATGCAATCGGAAGCAAGTTCACAGCAGTTAAGTACTCACAGTGGGAAAAGTGGTCAAGAGCATTCCAATAATTTACAAGTGCATGGTTCAGTTTATGACCCAATATCTGCTGGCAGTTCTAGGCGTTCTAGTGAATCTGCTGAGCCTTTACCTAATGGACTTACTGCTCACTTACATAGAGTACATGCCAGAGCTTTGGCTTCCCAGCATCTATCAAATACAGGCAATTTAGTTGTGTTAAGCCAGAGTGAATCTTTGGCATCAGACAGTGAAGGACTACAACGTGGTTGTCAAAATACGCAACAAATGGCAGTGCATCAAAATAATATGAAACCTCCCCAAACAAGTAATACACCATGCAGTGCAAGACCATTGCCATCAGTTCTTAGCAATAAAGGGCATCATCCAAATCAAGATGTGGTGCTAGAAGAACTAGAAAAGGATAAACCAATTGAAGAAAATAAAGATGTAATTTTACCAGATGAAATGGTCACTTACCTACATGAAGTTGCTGAACAAAGTCACAGACCTCCTTCAGTTTTGAGTGAAGCAGTAACTAGTGTCAGTCGATATATAACACCAAAAACTCCTGTAAATAACCAAACGAGAAGCCCACAGAATGTTCCATGTACAAATCATGCTCCCCAGCAACAGAGCTGCGTACAGAATGGCCAGCAGAATTGGACTTCTTGCAATTCATGTTGTCAAAACTCCCACAATCCCACCTGGGTTCCACACAACTGTCAACATAACCATGTAAATTATCCTAATGGAGTTCAGCAGAACGTACAGTCATGCTGCTATACAAATTCAGGAACACAGCAGCCAGTACAAAATTGCCATGAAGTTCATAAACCCATGCAGCCACATGCTGGCTGCATAAATCCAGCAACAGCTCCTAATTTTCATAAAATACCACCATATAATCAAAATACTACCTCTTATCCATCAAATATTCCTTCACAAATTAATCCTAGCTCAAATCACCAAGTAAGGAATCAGTGTTATCCTCCCCATGGTTATTCACAACAAGCTATGAACAATCAAAATGGTTATGTTGAACAATATAATAATCCTGCAAATAATATGCATCCTCCTCCATCAACTCCATATTCCTCCCAAAGTAACTATAACCATGTCAATAATCAGCCTAATTCTATGATGCCTACAGCACCATATATGGGAAATAATATGCAACACTATGGTAATGAAAATCCACAGCCCACATACCCTAGTCAAGGAGGAACACCATCCAATACATATGGAATGCATCCTAACAATTCATCTCACAGCCACTGCCCACCACCTAACTATCCTCCATATAATGCAGCAAGCAAACATCCCAGTCAAGCAGGTTCTATGCAATATAATGCACAACCAGCTTCAAATTCTCACAGTTCACAATCATTTAACCAAGTTGGCCTTAATCAGAACCTACAAGTCATGCACAGTGATAGTGCCAATCAACATATGAATTACGTTCCTCAAAACAATTCTTGTTATATTCCGAATGGTTGGTGCAACAACCAATCACAAGATTATAATTCTTACACTTCTGGCAATAGCACAATGCCTTACCCTCAGGAAGCTATTCCAAATGTACCTCATACTCAAAATGGGATGCAACATCACCATCATCATTCAAATCATCTTGCTCATCTACCTGTTCAAAGTTTAAATTCAAACACACCAATTCAACAGTGTGTGCACAAAACTGGGATTAATGGAGCTTCAGCTAATCCTTGTACTTATAATCAAATGCAGTATGCTTCCAATGCTGAATCCATACAGTACCCAGTACATCAACAGTCTTCAGTGCCTATGCAGTATCCTGTGATGCAACCAAATCAATACCAAGACCACAAAATTTTGAAAAGTACTGATGCACATTTACCTTGTAACAGTAACAATCCAAATCACATAGACTCTATGTGCCAAAGCCAATTACCAACACTGCTGCATAATGACAGTAACCATTGTTGTAATCATAAATTGGGCACATCAATTCAGGCACAACATAGTGCTTCTAGCATATCAGAGCAAGATGAAAAAGACTCTTCTGTTTCTGCAGCAATTGCACGGTCATCTCATAGTTGCTCCACTACAGATCAACGAGAGATTCAGTGCCAAAATGTTAGCCAGTCTTCCTTATCTGGAGAAGCATATCAGAGAACTTTGAAATACGTTCAACAGTGCCAAGAACTCTTAGGAAAGCAGCAAGCCTCTCCAGGATGCAATCGAGTAAGCAGTAGCACTGACAGGCATAGTCCGGCAGTCAGCCATTCTCCATTGCTGCAGACTTCTAACATGGTCATAAATGATCTTAATTCTGGATTACACTCTTTGGTTGAAGAAACACGATACTTGCAATTATTGCATTGACTCTGATGATTGATTTCATTGCAGTTGTATAATTATGATAAAATGTATGTAGTTATATATTTGACTGAAAATAATTTTGTACATTTCATGTATACATTTCCTACATCTTTTAATATGTAATAATTATATAATTTTTTAAAAACAAAATCTATTTCTATAGCTTGGAAAAAATTGGGTTTAAAATATGAAACTATGTTTGTGCCTTTTTGAAATGATGGAATATTTTTCATAGAGAGCTTATACTAAGCTAATTTTTAATACTGTTAAAATTTGTTTTAGAAATTGTAAAAAACTATATATATTTCAAACTTTTAAAATGAAGTTTAGTGTGCCTTTAAGTTTTGAATTTTGTGAAATGCTATTCATAAAAAAATGCTGCAAATTCGAAATGTGATGTTATGTATCCTATCAGCATTTATTTGCTCACTTGAAAACGAATTGTGCCTTAACTGGCCGAATTATTTTTTTACTTGTTAAATATGGTTCATGGTCTACCGCATTACTTTAAATATGGTTCATATTGTGGATACAACTGAAAATGATAAGCTTTTAAAAATTATTTGTGAAAGGAATGCAAAATGTGGGGTAATTAATAAAGAATGAAACTATTTTGCTCATCTGGCGTAAAATAACTAAATATTATGTAATAATGGCTAAGTTATTAGCAGGCAGGAGAAATATGAAAGTTTGTTATATGAAATGTTAAGAGCCTAGATTTGTCAAAACTAGAAACATGAAAACTGTGTAATGCCCTTGCCAAGATTTGAACTCTGGACCTCCCAATTATGCTTCTAATTACACCATGAAGGCATGTGGTAAGGAAGGAGAAAAATCCCTTATATTTTCCCCCATTTAGAGGACAGAGGAATAAGCTGCCAAATCCAGGCGATGACAAAATATCATTCACAACATTTTAGTTTGGACATCAACAAAATTGGTTATCAAGTGTTTCAAACCAAGGGGAAAAAAAAAAAAAAAAATCAATGGTGCACTGGCCAGGATTTGAACTCTAGACCTCCTGATTGTCAGCCAGCTGTATTTCAAATTACACTAAGGAAATATGTGGCAAGGAAGGAAAAAATGACTTAATTGACACACCCATAACACTGAAGTCAGTGTTAATAAAACGAACATTTACCTCCCTAGAATAATTGTTTTGCTAATGGCAAATGTGCACAAAGTACTAGTTTCAATCTTACTGAATTACTCTGCATTTTAAACAAAAATCAATTTTGCTATAACCAACTAAACTACGTTGTTATTTGTTAAGTATGGCTCATATCCAAAAACATAGGTGTAAAATGCAGATTGCTTAAAAAATTAAAAATGAAATGTATTGTAAAGTATTTAAAGTGCAATTTTTTACAAATGTTCTTTTTCTGATGCACTAATGTTTTCCTGTTTGAAGATTTTGACTGTAAATAGTTATTTGTGCATTTGATGTTAGTAAATGTTTATAATGGATAATTTTTACCTTGTTTCTTAATTCAAAATTGAGAGAAAATCATACATATTCAAGTTTATATTTTCAAACTCTTTTTTAGCAGGATGCAGAACTTTAAAAAATAATATCTGCATTGTAACTATACATTGACGTAATGTTATGATAAATCATAAAGTTATGTATCCAGGTCACAATGTGCAACTAAATGCTTGTGGGTTATGAGGCTAAACGGTTTCAGAAAACTTGGCTTAAGATAAATATTAGTATTTACATTTTCCTTTTAAGTTCAGCAGATTTAAAGTGTTATTTCCATGCTGCATACTATTATTACATTATATTTTTATACAGTTTTAATTTCTAAGCCTATTCCTTTATGGTTAGTTGATTTAATTATAGCAAAGAATGCATAGCTTAACTGCCAAGGAAGGGTTACCTTTGTGAAGAATTTTATAAAAGAACTGGCTCATATTTAAATATGATCAGGTAGGGTCTAATCTATCACTGGAATTCAAACCTGGGTTGAAGTATCAGTGTTCAGTGATTTTTACATAGTGGGGGAAAATAAGAAATACGGATAAGAGCAACATTTTCAAAAAAAAAAAAAAAAAAAAAAAAAAAATGAAGTATAAAAATTTTTTTATTGGCAGACCATGGAGCAATAGTGCTTCATGGTGCGTTATACTTGATTCTTGAAATCAAGATTTTTTCCCGCACTTCTAGCAGAGAATAGATTAAGAAATAAAGATATCACAAATTATTTCGCTTGTCAAAAATTTACTGATAAATTCTGTTCTGCTCATAAAACTTATATCACAGCAATAAACTTTTGAAATAAAATTCCATTTATTTCCTGGATAGGTAATTTTTAAGAACCTATCTAAACTTTAACTTTGACCTGGGTGTTAGAAAAAAACCTTTTACAGATTTGCAGAAGTACCAAAACCTGAAAGTGATTCTGAAAAAATTAATTTCTCTTCTTTAGGAAAATGGGAATTACTATGCATAAGTTATTAATTGTATTAAGAAATGTATAGCACATTCTGACCAAAATATTTCTGTAGCATGTTTTGTAATTGTAAAATCTAAGTATTTTAGTTTACTACAAATGCAGTTTGAGCAACTCTTGCTAAAATCTAATGGGACTGCCGTACAATGCCATTTCAGTTTCATTTTATTCAATCTAAAATGGTGGTGCAAATTTAAACCTCCACTGTAAAGTGAATGTGTGTTATGTACACTGCTAAAAAAAAAAAAAAAAAAAAAAATAGTTTTTATATCTTCCGTTTTATTGAGCTGATTCACGAAATTCAAATTGCGTTCTTCGTGTCTCGAAAGTGCGACTTAGGATATATATTAGATTTATATATAGCACTATTCTAACATAGGTATTTTGATACAAAATCAGACTTTTCCTGAAATAACATACCATTTTTTTCCATATTTCGACTCTACGACTCAAATTATGCCAGAATGCCAAGTTTTGTAAAAAAACGTACGAGTAGTTTTTAAAATATTAGCTCCTCAATGTTAATTAATTGAATTTGGCAAATATTTTTTAATCTTTTTTTTATTAAACTTTATTTTTCCTTTCACATTTTGAAATTTAGATTTATTCCAAATAAAATTTACCCATTTTTTGTGTTTTAGTTTTTAAATTTCTATTTTTAAATAATTTTTTTATAAATATTTCGAAAAAAATTTGAATTATAACCTATAAAATTTTTACCATCATCTTAAAGTAGGTGTATTTCTAAGCATACCTGCAAAAAATGTAACTTTTTAATTCAAAATTTTCTAAGATATACACGAATTTACATATTTTCGCGTTTTGAAATTTGGCATCTTTTTTTTTTTTTTTTTTTTTTTTTTTTTTTTTGAGCAATAATAACGCCAAATGTGGTTTATGGATTTTTGTTACAGTGAATTGCCACAGCTATTTTTAACCTTAAAATTCAAATAAATTTTTACGGAGAATCAATTATATTTTTTCCCTTAATGATACGTAATAAATATTTAATACTATGGGAAAAATTATTTTTTAAATTATAGATGATATTCAAATTTTTAACTTTTTAAAAAAATTTCTTGCTTTCTTTCTTTTTTAAAAAAAATATTTGCATTCAAAGTTTTTTGAAGTATTTGCATTTACTTCATAAGAAGGACATTATAGCCCTTCTTATTCTTCTTATTCCTTACATACATTATATTATAAATGTACAATGATATATTTGCATTTACTTCATAATTATTATGGTTATTAATAAAAATAACCGTAATAATTACTTATTATATTGCTGATGATTAGAATTCAGTTCTTGACAATTTCATTCTAAATTAGAATTTTAAGGCTATACTGCAAATACGCTACGCATAAAAATACATTTTAGGATAGAAAATGAGTCAATTTTTTATGTTTAAAAACTTCTTAAATTCATTTAATAAACATCGTAACCTCGTTGGCAATTGAATCCAGAATGTTGAGTGTCGTTTATATAATTGTAAAATGTAAAAGTAAATTTTTATCTTTGGTGTTTTATCGTCTGCTACTTTACTTTGATTTTGTTTAAATCGAATTGTTTGAAACTGAGATTTTTTTGTTTGATGTTCATTTGAATTTTATTACATTAAGTGCATAATTTATTTCTAAGCAAGCTGTTGCTTATGAAGTGGCTGAAAGAGCGGCTGATACTATCATCCATATTTTTATAGAAACATAAGATTTAGAATAATCATTCTTATAAAAGACAAATTATGATATAAACATACAATCCTCTAGAGATCGAATTAATGGAAGTTCAATGGTTATGTAGAAATGATCTGCAGCTACTCAATGGCTGGATAAGTCAGCAGGTTCTGTGAACAAGTAAGAATAATTATATAAACGACACTCAACATTCTGGATTCAATTGCCAACGAGGTTACGATGTTTATTAAATGAATTTAAGAAGTTTTTAAACATAAAAAATTGACTCATTTTCTATCCTAAAATGTATTTTTATGCGTAGCGTATTTGCAGTATAGCCTTAAAATTCTAATTTAGAATGAAATTGTCAAGAACTGAATTCTAATCATCAGCAATATAATAAGTAATTATTACGGTTATTTTTATTAATAACCATAATAATTATGAAGTAAATGCAAATATATCATTGTACATTTATAATATAATGTAAGGAATAAGAAGAATAAGAAGGGCTATAATGTCCTTCTTATGAAGTAAATGCAAATACTTCAAAAAACTTTGAATGCAAATATTTCTAATTTTATATTAATCAAGATTGCACAAGATAATTTTTTATTAGCACTTCAATTCTTAACATCAGCTCTAGTAGAAGTTACAAATCAATTATATTTAGTTAAAGAATGATCATTTAAGTTTAGAAACAGTGTACCATAACAGCAATTCAATTATTGTCACTGTATCTCTCATGTTACTCCCGATTGGCAAGCTACATGATTTTTAATGAGTATTTGGGTTTTGCTAGTAACTTCACTTGGAAATCGTGCTTAAACTAGGATAGTTGGTTATTTGAACATAGAAAGAATATGGGAGCTGTTTGATTAAGATGCTTTCATAGAGGACCTTTGTAAAGAGAACCTAGAAAACTAACCATGCAGCCTGGGTTAGACATTGCAATAAACAATTAGTATTTAACAATCTTCAAATGCTAGGCAACTGGTAAGGCTCCAATTTAATATTTTATTTGTAAATATTTAAAATATTGTTGTATTCTTAAGACACAAAAAGCCGAATTTAAGTTTAGTTAACTCGTTAGTAAACTACCAAGCTGTAGTGCAAATGAATATTCAATTTCTTTTGCAATAATTGTATTCACTTAATATTCTTAGAATATGAGCTAAAGAAGGAACGTTCTCGGAAGATTAAAGAAGTAGAAGTGTTTACATCCAGTGATATTAGGTTTGCCTTACAAGCTCAGGTATCAAAACGAATCTGCAATTGCCCGAGTAATTGACTTGTAAATGGCTGTGAATTAAGCAGATGACTTTTAATCTTACGTTATTCAGTCAGAAAATGTATTCCAAATGTTTTGTATTGCATGACAATGCATCTTTTCATTATTCAGTAACCAATCAGAGACCCGCTTGTGTTCCGAAAATAAGTATGTGTACTCAATCGTCCTGCATGTTCTTCAAATTCTTGTGATTTTTTTCTTTCCCAAAAATTAAAGTTGCCTCTCAAAGGAAAGTTTTTTTGACATTGAAGAGACAAAAGGGGTATGACATCTACTTTTAGAGACATGTCAAAAACAGATCTCTACAAGGCTTCTCTTCCATTACATGTTGTGCATTCAGACAAAAAGTTGCATCAGCGTAAATTCTATAATCTATTTTTATTACACTCTGATTACTTTGTTAACATACAGTGAATATATACTAAACCTTTTACTTCAGCTTCAGTAATTCGGAATATTTGATGGAATTGTTATTAGAACTAGGACTTGGAAGATAAGTCAAATTGAATATTTTGATAATCCAATAAATTCAAGATCGAATTTTCAATATTTTATTTTCGGAGGAAAATGAAATTTTTTCAGTTTTAATCCATTATCCTAAGTATATTTGCTTTGATTCTTTATTTTTTCCATAAAAGCAAAAATCTTACGCATAGCTTCAAATTAAAATTTAATAATATACAGGGTGGTTACAATTAAAGTTCCACTTTGAAATGGTCATAAAAGGAAAACTACTGGATGAAATGTTATCAAACTTTCAAACTTAGTAACTGTGTAAAGGAGATTATGGGAATTTATTTTCTGCGAAAAAAAGTAAGTTCGGAACCTCAGCACCAGGGGGTAAATGGCGCTGTATGCAATCATTAAACAAAATATGGGTTGGAATCTAACTTAACCTTTTGTTACACGGGTTTAATATGTTGTATACCTTAAGAAACTTTGAAGTAAGCAAATTTCATTTAAAGGCGTTAAATTTGATAAAAGTCGAGTGTGCCATCTGTGTAAGGGAGAAATTTGTTCGTGAAAACCACGAATTAGCAATTAGAAAATGCGAGATCGCAAATCACTCGCACAAGTACCTACAATCTGGAAATCGTTTTCTTACAGATTGTCAATTTGTAATTTTTGAACCATGAATTTGGCCCTAAAACATGAAGATACTAATTCAAAACGCTTTTAATCGATTTAGGCTAAAGAAATCCCTCATGCTATCTACCTAGTTCCATTGCATTCTCCTACTGCATTCCATTGCATAGCAGTCATTCCACACCGTTTGGAGTGGAATGACAGCTAGTGTCATAACTGAAGCATTTTTCTCTAAAGAGCAGTCGACAGCTGGACCACTGTGATTGCAGCTCGCTTAGAGTTAATGTTAAAATGTTTCGTGATGCATGAACTGCAGTAATGTGGCATTTTAGATACTAGGATTTTTATGCAGGGCTGGGTCCCACCTCACATGTGTCACACAGTTACTTAGGCAACATTTCACGCATGAATGTCTTATAGGCCGACACTTCCCCACTTCCCTGTCACCTCGGTCAACATACCTCAACCCCTGTGAGTTTTGGCTATGGGGGTTACCTCAAAAGCACTGCTTATGGTGACAACCTAAACGATTTCGCAGAAATGAGAAATGTGATACACCGATATGTCTACAACATTCCTCCTGATATGCCAAGAACTGCTGTTGAGAATGCAGTAACAGGATTTAACTTGCTTTCAGAAAATGCTGGACGCTACATTGAACATGCTTTGTAACATGATTCAGAAACGATTAAACATATTTTAAACCGATTTTAAATTCTTCATGTCTTATTTCATTTAACAATACTGCATACAGCACCAATTCCCCCCTGGTGGTGAGAACTCTCTTTCCCCCCCCATAACCTCCTTTACACGATTACCAAGTCTGATAACATTTGGTCTCGTAGTTTTCCTTTTATGACCAGTAGTTTATTATTTTCAAAGTAGAACTTTAATTATAATCACAATGTAAATTAAACTTTAAAAGTTTTGCAGTTTGGTTCAAAACCCAGTTTTAAAAAATATATATATAAATATAAATTTTTATATTAATTCTCTTAGAAAGGATATTTTAAGAAGTTCATTTTTCTCTCACATTATAGATTGAATTAAAAAACATTATCTTTAATATGATTTAGCCGATATAAGAATCGGGTCACTCAGTGGTACAAAATAAACACTGTTGGACTGTTTTATTTCTTTGTAAATTAGCAAAAAATCTTTTAATTAAAATATTTATCCTTTGGACTTTGCTTTAAACTTTATTTATAGTTAAAATACCTAGAAAATGAAAAGCTGTCTTCAACTGAAACGCAGTTGATGCAATTGATATTTTAAAAAAATTAACAAGAATGTAAAATTTATGGAAGTCTAGCAATCGAAAAATCTTAATTTTCTTGTGTGAGCACTGAAAATAACTGTAGAAGGAAAGAAGAAAATTAGGCAGAAAAGTAAGCAAGAATTTGAAGGGAAATTTGGCTGTCAGACATACCAACATGTTCAAAAAGTTGAACGCTTTTAAATATACTTTCAGGATACTTTAAAGAATTTAGGTGTTCAAAGAGAAAACACTTGGACGTGTACACCAGCAAATACCATCAATTCAGCTTGTGTTAACAAGAAAGACAAAAAACAATATCATTGCAGATTAAAGTGAAGAGAGACTGGTTTTAGATTATATGGTTCGGTTTTAGACAGGTAGTTCGATCTGAGGTTCAAATCCCGCAAACGGGCTGGCTGCACGGGTGTTTTGCCCAATGTGTAACATGTGTACGAACCAGTTTCCCTTAGAAAGTCCTCCACAAAAGTATCCCTCCCCTTAGGCAGATAGCCCTAGTGTGCTTTGCCATAATTGAATAAACCAACACCTCTTGATGAAACCAGCCTTTCCTTTTATCTTATACCTTCAAAATGCTAACCTCTTAAGATTGATAAAGGCTATGAGTTAAATACTGATGAAATGGATTGAATTGGATTATTAAGTTATGGCAAAGCAAGGCTATCTGCATAAAAGGAAGGATGCCTTAGTGAAGAACTTATTAAGGGAAACCAGCTGGCATACACGTTAAAGATGAGAAAAATCCATGAAAACGCCCATGCAACCAGCTTGTTTACCGGGATTCGAACCCCAGAGTGAACTACCAGTGTTCAGCGAATTTACCGCTTGGCCGTTTGTGGGCCTTTATGAAATGGAAGGAAATAACTTTATTAAAATGATTGTCAGAAATATCAAGATATTTCGAAAAGTTGGATACTTTTTAATATACTTGCGGAATGCCTAAAGAAAAAGAGCAAGAATAAAGTAGAATGCCTGAAAAAAAAGAGAAGAAAAAATAAATTTTTGGGTAAAATTTAGTATTTGTATTTTTTTTAAATTTAAAACTTCTTAATCTTATGATATTTGATTCTTACGATTTCAAAAAAAATATTTGACTAAAATATGAATAACATTTAAGAAACCAAATGTAGGATAAAATTGTGTAAAGCAATGGGCACAATGATAAAACTGTTTAAAGCAGTGTATGCAAGTCATCCTAAGTTAAAATGTCGGTTATTATACATCTCTCTTATTTTATATATATCTTTTCTGAACGGAACATTGAAAGGCGTGTTAACTGTGCTTTACTGTATTTGCTCTTTTAATATATTCAGTTTTCAAACGCACATCGTAATCTGGGTTACAAAGTATTCCTCCGAAAGAAACTCAATTCAAATAAATAAAATCAAATTCTGAAAAATTTATATTAAGAAATTTTTAAAATGCTCAGTTCGAAGGAATAAATAGAAAATTTTAAAACAATTATCTGAAGAGACAATGCAACACTAGCAATTAAAATAAAAGTAAAAAAATTTAAAAATTACCTAAAATGGTAACTATGACTACAAATATAGTAAACTATGACTAAAAATATAGTAAGAAAAACTGAAATTCGAAAAAGAAAAAATATTTAAAATAATAACAATTATAATTAAAAATATAATATAAAGATCATTATCTGAAAAAAGGAATGATCGTGACTTTTTTCCCCTTCATGCACGAGGTAGAAAGTGAAAGGAAAGTAGGTTGTCGTATATTAAGAAGTTCGCCAAGTGAACTATTCTTGGAGCAAACTGAAAAAAAAAAAAAAAAGTGCCAACATAAACTGTTGAATTTCTCCGTAAATTTCGCACAAAATTTTGTATCTAGGCATAATTTGAGTCCTAGAATCAAAATATGTAAAAAAAATGGTGTGTTACATCAGAAAAAGTCCGATTTTGTGTCAAAATATCTATGTAAGAATAATGTTATGTATAAATCTAATATATATCCTAAGTCGCACTTTCGAGACATGAAGAACGCAATTTGAATTTCATGAATCGGCCCAGTAGAACAGGAAATATAGAACTGTACCTTTTTGTTTTTGTTTTGTGGAGAAGTGTACATGTGAGTATAAATCTATACATTGACACCATATTTTTACTGGGGGGGGGAAAGAAAAGAAATAACACCAGTTACAGTGCGTTACACCTTTTGCTTTTTGACATTCCCTTTACATGAAAATTAGGATTCTTTAAAAATAAACATTTTCGTCATTTGTATAATTTTTTTTATATAGCAATGTATCACAGATCACTACAAATGAAATACAAAAATCATATCATAGTAAATGAGATGAAATTGGTCTTTCACATAGACCAATATATCACAGATAACTACCACTGCAAATCAATGTATATAAAATAAATATCATAACTAAAACGGTAATATTTGATATCAAATAAATCTCACATACTGAAAGTAATAAATTTAAAAATTATTTTTCCTTCTTTTAAGAGATTATCCATTACACGTGATAAATACATTGTTACAATAGAAAAAGCAGTGCCTGGGAGAAGGGGAGAAAAGATATTTCTGAATTTTTTATTCTACTTTAAAGATCAACAAATCTTTTGTCTCAATGAGATAGGTGTATATTAGATATATGAATAATCCAATGTATGGATTTTTAATGCAAAGGAAAACTAAAAAATTAATATTAATTCTAGTTGTAGCAATTTGAAAATACTTTTGGATTTCATTTTCTAAACTAAATTTATTACAGAATGCAATTTTACATGTAAAGTCTAATATTGTTTTTGTAAATTGAGCAAGTTCTAACCTTTCCTCCTAAGATCAGACTTTGCTGTCTGGACACCAAGAATTTGCATTTTGAGGGCAGGGATATAATCATACAGATTTTCATCCGTCTTCCATTGTAATCACCACCAAAATATATTTACAGCCGAGAAATCACAAAGCATTACACATTTTATTGCTTTGTTTCAGTCCAACGTTAAGTGTTATATCAAAAGAAAGGAAGAATGCAACAAAATCTACTGACTTAATAGGTGTAAATGTTTCCATGAAAAATTATGTTAATTCATAATTACATTATTTTCATATTGCACATAAGTGCTATTTACTTAATGGCTATTTATTTTAGAAAGAATGCCTTTAAAAGCATAAATTCTGTCATATTTTATACAGGCAGCACCGCGTGTACACACCTTACATCTTTCATTCCTAAGGTAAAGCAAATAAAATAAAGATAACTTGCTTAATAAGTGTTTCTTCATGCAGCTTGCTGATTGTGATCCCAACAAGTATGTCCATAGGAGTTAATTAAACATGAAAATTACAAACAACTTGACACAAGCACCTGCAGTTTTTGAGTTTAAACTAAAACAAAAGAGATCTAATAGTTGCTTAACAAGAGTGGAGATTAATTCATCATAGACTCATCATATATGAGATGCCCACATGGGCCTTACACACAGAGAATTGAATGCAGTTGATAATGGTCAAACGTGTAAACAGTTGTGAGAAATATTCAATTGCACTGCATTAAGTCATTCATTTCTATCAGCTTTGAAAATGATGAGACAATGGTTTGTGTCTACTTGACAATGACAAAAGCATATTTGTTTCACAGTCTTATCAGGAAAAGGATCCATTCCTTTCTTCAGAAGAAATCCATTCGTGAATGAAGACTGTAACTGATGTCTTGTTTTATTTTCATTTATTGCAAACTGCCAGAAAAAAAAAAACTGAGATTTTGTTGATGAATGAAGAAGGCATAACGCAGCTTTAATTAGTCATTAAATTATAAAATATTTGCTCGTTTAACGGGAATTGTTTTCTCAAAAATTTTATTTTAAAGAGAATTTTTTTCCCTGTCATATCAGTGCTTTAATAATTTTCAAAACTTCCCATTCTATATCAAATTTTATAATTATTATTCACTTCAATAACATCTGAGAAAAAGAAAACCTGATATGAAACATTTCATAATATCAGGTTTACTTTTTTTTTTTTTTTTTAATGTTACAGCATATGCCACTATAAATATAATCTAAGCAATTAACTGTTTGGTAAAAATCATGGCCTTTTTTTCTTCATTAAAGTAATAAGATAAAAGGTTATTAACTTGATAAATTATAATGAACAAAACTTTTTTGTGTTATACACAGGGAAAAACTCTTACCAAAAACAAATTGGCATAATAAGCACTGAATTTGTGTATGTTTTATCAGTAAAGCTGAAATATTTTAAGCAATTTGCTATTCATATTTTATCACATATACTAACAATACCATTTACGGAGTTATGATTGCAACCCCATTTCAAAAATCCTGAAAACTACAGTGGTGCAAAAATCCATTTTAATTTTAAATAATGCAGATTATTAAAGTCAAATACATATATATATGCATACTTAGATATTTAAAAAAATTTCATCAAGCAAAAAAGTGGTAACTTTTTTAATATAGTAAAACATTAATTTATATTTCATAACACTGACTATAAGTTTTTGGGAACTGTTGCAATGATAGTTTTCTTTGCCAACAAAGTTAAATTAGAAATAAATTTTGGCGTTTTTCAGTTAAATATCACATTAAACATAATTTTAACAGGTGTTGGAGATAAGGAACTGTTCGATCAAAATGGTTCATTGAGTGTAAAAAAAAAAATTAAGCTGTTCAGTTATTCACTAAATTTTACCAATAGGATCTTCAGTAGGATTTTACAATCCAAAACCTTCACTTCTATTGAAGATGAATACTATTTTTAAAAATCACATAACATCTAGGGCAGCAGTTCTCAACCTTTTGACTAATGTGTACCATCTAAACAAAAATCGAAAATCTTTAGTACCACCACTACAAAGTATTATTACCACCACCACTCTTAAACAAAGCTCAGATCGCATAAATTTATAAGTGTTAGAGAAAAAATCTCAATCAGGGTGATAGGGTTTTAATTTTTGAATTTAGTAGTTAAAAATACTTTGCACCACCTATAGATCTCTCTTGCGAACCACCGGTTGAGAACCCCTGATCTGGGGTATTAATATTCAAGGATGTTCTTAATCTGTATAATGTCAGCCATATAATTAAATGAATTTTTAACAAAGCAAGCAAGCAAGCAAATTAAGAGGTAACCATAATAATAATAATCAGTTTTGTCAATACTGGATGTTTCTACTCTCCATCTCTTAGTTTGAAAAAAACCTCAGCTTATGCCTGACTTTTCTAATAATCTAAAAGTTTTAAATTTATGCTTTATCTGAATGGTATGTTTTTCCTAGATGAAAGATAATGAGTCTACATTACACAAATCTGGAAATTTTGGGTTGGGACACTGCTTATATTGCTAGGAGCATCCATGATCTTGAAAGTGTCCCACCTTCTTTCCCTACAACAGCTCACTGTACATTTTGAATGCTTCCTTGCTGCACACACTCTGTATACTTAAAAAAAATCATGCCTTCTGGGATTCGATTCCCTGGACATTACATCATTGAATTGGCATTTGTTACATTTGCATAGCTGCCAGTTCTCCTAGTTTTTCAATACAGCTCCTGGTTTCTAATTTTTAACCTTTACTAAAGAAAGTGTTTTTCAGCAATACATTTTGCACATTTTAAGTTTCATTAAAAGCCTAATTTGTCCGAATTTCATCCCCCCCCCAAATCCATCCTTAATGACCTTCAGCATAATTTTTCTTACTAAATTTTATTTGATCTTAATTGCTTTAATGTACTGTAGATGGATTCCACTGCAGAGCAATTTTTAAAATTTTTTTAGAGGCAGGAACTTTAAAAAATGTGCAATACCCTCACCGAAATTCAAGGTTTGGACATCCTAATTGTTAGTTGGATGTGTTTCCAATTATGCCACAAAAGCATGTAGTAAGGAGAGAGATAATATCTTACAAATATATGGTTCATTACTAAGTTTATCCACACAACAATATGTACATTAATTGTTAATTGTACTTTTACCATATTTATAAGTGTTTTGATAAATTAAAGCTTTCTCTCCCTACTCTGAATCTTCTCAATATAAAAGCTTAAGAAAATTACAAAATACCATTAGACAAAAACAAAAAATTTAGAATATGTAATTTAATATTAACAAATTTTAAGGTGACAATCATTATAGTTGAATAAACTGTGCATTATAAAGCAAATTTAAATTAAAATTTAATTTATCGTGCATTATAAAATAAATTTAAATCAATTTTGCATTCTTTTAAAATGGTGCTGCCGTGTAGCATGAAAATTTTCTGGAAACTTCTGCTTTCTGGCGGTTGAACTCCTGATTTTTCAAATTTCAGGGTAGGCAGCTATCATTTGTTAAATAACCAAATCTGTAAGGATAATGGTTCATCAACAAAGTGAAGCATACACTGGATAATTTCTTTGGTTCATGTTCCACTAGTTTCTATCATCAAGAGATCCATAGTCTGCCCATGTGTTCGAAGCAAGGTTTAGCTACAACTAATGGAATTATTTCTGATTTTACAGGTGTATCTTACTTCATGTTGTTGCTCTTGTCTTTGGAGAGGTACCAATCTCATAGAATAATTTTAACCGTCCGAACATTACGGGTTTATCCCTGAAATTTCAAAGTTCCTCAAAATGTCATGAATAAGTGGTATTTTCTTGATTTTAATTAAAAAATGACTCTCTGATTTTATACTACATCATACTACATTATTGATTCCTTTTCTTCCAATATACATCCAAACCGAAATCAGATACATTAAAAAGTAGCAGAGATTTTCATGTATAATGAATATAGAAGGCAGCCTTCTATGCGGAATTTTCCGGCCGTAACGCTGAGAGGGTTAAATTGATAAATAAAAACAGAAAGACTGCAGCTAAATGGTTCCATGTGGAACTGGAGCCTGAATGAAACAAATGTACTACAAAATGTACATTTAAGATATGTTATAAATAAACAGACACATTATTAGCAATCTTATTAGGCAATAAAAATACAGTTTAACATTTTTTTAAATTAATCAACCTGAATAAAAAATGCAGGGGCAATCTGTTATTCCCTTCTCCCACAGTTTGAACACAGCATATCATATAACATATTATATACGATGAAGTCATTGTCCATGATACATTCTTGAAATCAAAGTATATCATAAAAAATACACAATGAATTTGTACTATTTAGAGAATATATAGTAATATAATGTCATATTCAATAATATACACATAAACACAGAAACTTATCTTTGAAGCATCATACTACATTATTGATCCAAGATTACATACAATACTTAATCATAAATGTAGCTTTTATTAAGTATTTAATTGAAAAAATACAACAAATGATCACATTTTCTCAAATTTTACATGTCAAAATGCATGATATAAAAATTAAAAAAAATTATAACAATGTTTAAGTGATAAAAAAGGTATTCCAGAACTCAAACGAGTTAAATTCCTATACAGGATCAAGTCTTTTGCACTCAGCATTTCCAAAAGTCTAATTCTTTTCCTCTCCTCCCCTGATGGTACTTTTTTCAAGGGGTGGCTTATGACATAATTTTAGTTTAATATTTTATAAATATTTTATTTCAGATCTTTTTGAATGTTAGTATAGCATCATATTCTAACATGAATCATTATCACTGAAATTTTTTAATGTGATTAAGACAACAGTGAAACCAATAGATATATTTATTTCCATTTATCATATACTTTATAATTTTCTTAATGAAAAGTTTGCATTAAGTACCTTCTTTTTATTTCAATATTAAAATATTGTTTCAGAAGTTACTGAAAGCTAGAATATTGTTTTGCATTTTATAATTATTCTATTTAGAGTGATCAACTAATTTATAAAAAAAATCTTTATGAAATATTAAATTAGAAGTCTCCAAATATGCATTTATGTTTGGAACACATTACAAAACCATTAACAATTTTTTCTTCAAAATTGATCAGATTAGATTTGAACCACACCACAGTGTAAATACTATGTCCATACTATACTTTCCATAACCTACACTCAGACAGCATGCATTTGATAAAATTACTTATTTCATTAAGAAATCTCTTTCTGCATTAGAAAATAGCATTTTCTTCATCACTTGAAACTTTAATCTTTCTTACAGATATGAAGCAGCTAATAGCAGAGAATAATGTATTTAAGCACTTAACAAAAACTTCTGTGCAAACTGATTACTAATAAATGGCATTCCATTGTGTATGATCACTAAATCTGTTTGTTCTTGGTTAACAGTTAGAGAAACTGGATAACATATACAGGTAGTTGACACGAGCATGGTAAAATGTCACCAAGTCTTGCTTAATAATAATATAAGAGCATTTATTTTCATTCACACTAAAACTGACTAGAATACAAGGATCTTGATAAAGCTGAAGTAAATTTAAGATTGGAAATATTTTCCAATTATTACTGAAAAATGTTGAACTTGACCCAAACTGATGTAAATGCAAATGTGAGGTATTAAGAGTTTCCAGTAACATCAAAATTTCAAATTCATGACAGTGCATGCGAGAAAGTATGCCCTAGTAAGAATCAGTAATTTTTTGTTGTTACTGTTGCCAGATCCTTTTTTAAATTCCATTCTAAGATTCATCCCTCAGCTACAGTAGTACCAACAAAAAAAAAACAATTACGTAGTTGAGTCCAAGACAATCAAATAAGTGAAACGAAAATTCAAATACAATCAGAAAATATTTTTAATAACTGCTTATTTATTAGAAACAACAGTATTTCTATTTAAATTAATCATTTTGAAAAGTTTTATTACTTTAGAATAATTAGTAACATGGAGATATCGATAATTATTAGGGCCTATCATTTCTAACATGTACTAGTTTTTAGTGACAATTGAATGAAAGAAAAAAACGCCATTCTTCAAATCGAAGGAATATAGCATTTACAGTATCATAATTAATAATTTAACTCTGTAGTAACGTCATTCACAGGTGGAATACTAAGAACATGAAAATTAAATACAATTCATTAAAATTAACCTCCGCCCCCCCAAAAAGAAATTGCTATACATGACAGCATAAATATAATTGCATCAAAATGATATTCAAAACAAGTTATTTTATGGATTGAAGCTTGAAGCAGGCCAATTAATGGAAATCAGACAGAAAATTAGCAATAAATAAATAAATAAAATATATAAATCACAATTATTTACAAAATAAATTTACTGTAATATGAGTAAAAAGAAAAACACATGTGAAAAATCACATAATATGATTAACTGTATCAAGAATAATTAAAGCTTTACAGTTTATAATTTACTCTCTTATTATTATTTTAGCTTTACAATTATTTATTCAAATTTTTACAATAAATGTTTTTAATAAGTAATGATAATGCCAAAAACAAACATATTCTTATACATATGAAGTATTTTTATAACCTGCTGTTTTGCATTACAAAGAATACTTTAAATACAACAATCATGAATAAACAGCCAGCAGATGAGTAATGATCTCTGAAATTCTCGGAACATATCAGTCCTTATTAGCTACATATTTCTGACATATTACTCACAGTTAAGTCAATATCTGCAGACTGGGAATTCTCCCCCTAAAAAAACTTTATCTGGTACATAGAATATTAAGGAACAAATTTTTCTTAACTACAAATCACTTAATGTCTATCATTAGCATTTCATATGTAAATTGAAAATCAAGAATATAAGGCATAGCAAATGATTTTCAAGCAACCATAAGGAAGGCTAGATCTCATAAGAAGTTCATTAGTTTATGTCATAACAAGTTTCCATAATAGATTAATAAAAATATAAGCTGCTACACTGGTAAGTACCAATTTAAGAGATAAATTTTAAAGAAAAAAATCTATTTTAATTTTTAACTTCAAGAGAGTTTTTAACAAATTTTTCAGTTTATTTATTCTATTTAGTAGAGAATTATAATGCAGGAAATGTACCTTATCTATATGAACTATCTACTTTGGAAGAATGTTTTTACCGTACACAAGTTTAGAATATTTTTGCCAAATCTAAAATGCTTAAAGTGTAGTTAAAAAGAATAATTCACAGAAAATAACAATTAATCTTACTCTTCCATTAGCAGTCAGAAAGACTTTACTTTTGACCCATAAAAACTGCAAAATCAGAAGTTACCAAAATGTAGATTTGTTTCCTCAATTTTCAGTACGAAGTTTTTCAGGACGATTGACTATTGTATCATGTTTGAACAGATAAACACTTGAATATATGCATTAATAACTTTAAACATGTATCAAAGCAATTTAATTATCAATTTCTGAATTATAATATACTTAATATATGCAGTGGAGAATATATATTTAAATATGAAGAATTTTAAAAGCTTAATTAAAATATGCACTATGATATTTAAAAACTGCATGGCTGAATATACAGAGAATATTATGAAAGTAAGCATACTTTTGTTCATATACTTATATGCAAATAAACAGGGTTCTAGTATTATTTAGCAACTGAAATAAAGAATAATTACATAATTAGGCACAACATTTTTGCAACTTTCTGAAAATGCTAAAAAGAGGAAAAAATTCTCCTCATCTTTCACAACACCTTTATTTCTTTTATCATGAGGTGTGTTAAGAAAGTATTACTTGTGTGGTAATAAAAGAATATAGTTGAATAAAACCTATCTATTTTTAAAGTAGATACTCTTGGCTATTATTCCAATAAGCATTCATTGAGGCCTTTGTAATACCAAAAGACAGAGTTTTGCATTCCTCACTTCACTAATTCATTTGAAAGAAAATCAGGAGGCATCAGTCAAATATATGTTTGGTGTGTTATGCAATGTGATTGTCATCGATGAACTTTGTGCAGAGTTTAAACATTTGTTACATGTGATACTGTTACACATCCTCTTAATTACAGAAAGGTTTATACCAGGTGAGTGTTACACATGTTTATAGAAGAAAATACCCACAGAAAAAAAGAAACTGCATTGACACTTTTAATGCAATATACAAATGAAGGTAATTACTTTCTAACTTAAACTGATACTGAGATGCATTATTTATCAAATAAAATAAAAATTTGTTATTAAATAAACAAACTGACACTATACTTTGACAGCTTTCTTAAGAGATGCTGCTTTTTGAAGTGGGGGGATTCATATTTTAAAACATTTTAATTTTTTGATTATGAGGTGCTCTATGCTTAAGTACAAATGAAAATCCATGGCATGATATCATTCTCCCACCAAATAGAAGAAAGCAAAGTGGTTCACACAGAAATAATTATTAGCATGTTCTGAGACAGACACAGTTCATTCCAATTTATTTATTTTATGCTTATACTCAAACCATTAATGGAAACACATATTTCAAAATACCAAAGAAAAAGAAAAAAGTAACTTGAAATTGCAGGAAACTTTTCTTGTCCAATTGTTACAATCGCAATCCATGATAATATCCAACCATGTGTCACTGCATTTGCATAGCAGCTGCTTCACAACTTTTAGCAGGAAATTCAGAAACATCTGGCTTGCTGTACTAACTCAGTTCTCCAACAATTACCATCTTTCCACAAAATTAAAAAAGAGTTTTGGAGTGATATTATACTTTTTCTGACAATGAAAAAGAAACTCTAGCAAATGGTAACAGCATTTCTCTATATATTAAAAGTATATGATAATTGTACACAAAACTTTATATCCCTATACAATAAGCCCATTAATGCCGATAATGTTGTGAGGAATAATAGCCTCAAAATATACACTTTCAAATAAAAGGTTTTATCTAATTAACTTTTGTTCTTTTTTCATTAACAAATCTTTTTCATTACATACATTTCAAACATACTTTTTCTTCTCTCTCACATTCAGTTAAGAAAAACATGCAATTTTTACTAATTTTGCCTGGATCTCGTAAAAATAAATTAAAATTGAATAATTAAATCTCAATGCTTTTTAAACACATCCCCCCTTTTTTAAAAAAAAAAAAAAAGATTCTTATGACTGTTCACAGTCTTGATATCCATGTTTTAAATTTTAAATAAAAATTTCTTGATAATTTAATTTCATTTTGTATCAAAATTTAAGATACTCTAAGATATGTACATACACTTCTGACTAGTAATAGACTTCCTTTAAATATTTTTTGAGAAACAGAATTTACAATTAGTGAATTGTTTCAGATCTTGCCATAAATGTAGTTGTACAGCTATTTGAAAATCTCATTCACTTATTTAAATACACTGTTACAAAATTTACAGAGTAATTAAACAAATAAAGGTTATACTGAAGTAATATTTACCATGTGCTAGAATTCATAATGCAAACTGGATATCAATTGACAACTGATGATCATGTCTGAATATAATCCATTAAGAGATGCACAGCATCAAAAAGGTAATGTAGAACAAGCTATAAACAATAGTACAAAAAGGATCTAAAGATAAATTCTCAAAATAAGACATTCAGGATTATGAATATAGACCAATAAAAATTTCATATTATTATTTATTATTTCTATAAAAGATAAATTTCAGCAGTTTACCTTTGTGTACAAGGATACATTTGACAAGGTTTAAATGCTTACAATAGTCATGAAATCATACTTTCAATAACTCTTGATCACAGAGAAAATATTATTCTATAATTTTATCTTCTATAAAAATGACTAGAATAAATTAAAATCTTCTATAAAAATGACTAGAATAAATTAAATTTCTTTTCAAATAAGGGTATGTCCAGATCAAAGAATTATACTAGCATAAATTAAAATCTTTTATAAAAATGACAAGAATAAATTAAATTTGTTTTCAAACGAGGGTATGTCCAGATCAAAGAAACTCTTTGAATATAATAAAGCACAGAATTTCAACTTTCATATTTTATACACTAAACAATTTAATAAACTAATATTTTTACTCATACATTTAAATCCAAGAGTTATAAAATTTAGGAAGGGAGGAATTTAAAATAATACTAGTTGGTACTTAATTTAACCTGCTTTTGCATGTTAAAGTGAAAAAATCAAATTTGAAAAAATAACAAACAATAGCAGTTTTACTAAAGGGTTAATAGAAGGAAAAATATGAAGTTGGCTGTAAAAATTGTGTAATAAAATGACAAACGAGGAAAAGTTTTTGTTAATTGTAAATTACTTCTGATTACCTTTCCCAAATGAAACTCTTTCAAAAATTACCTAATTCAGTTTTCCCTTGCCATGAATTTATTTTACAACACATTTGCATGCATTTATTAATCTTAATTCTTAGTTCAACATACTATTCTTTTTTAATAAAAATAGCCTTCTCACTTCAAGCATTCACAATGCTATCAAGAACGATAAATTAAAATTAAAAAAAAATTCCTGAAACATGACAAACAATAGAAAATAATAAAAGTATATAAATAATTCTTTTAATAAAAGAGAATCTGTTAATAAGGATTACTCTGTAAAATACTATAATTATATTATCACTTCACTACTTTAAAATATTAATTTTAATATGTCCATGAAAATTACTAAAATATGATTCATAACTTAATTGTGATTGTAACTAGAAAATTTTTTACTTCCGAATATTTTTCAAATCCATTAGACAGGGCATTTGCTTTGCGTTTTCAGCTTTAAATAATAAAAAGGAAATATAAAAAATTGATAGAAATGAAAGCCTGGACATACCATGTGGAATCAATAGGTCATCAGTTATTGCATAAAGTGGCCTAATCTCCCCTTTATAATAAGTTTACTTTTGCTTGACTTCTAGCAAATAAACAATTGCATGTTATGTCTAGCAAATCAACTAATATTCAAAAATATTACATGATAAAAATATTGCATTATAAAATCTGATTTTTGAACACATATGGTGGCTAAGTAGTGAAGTGAATCTTTCTTAAATGTGCTGATGACCAGGTTTGAGTTCTCCTTCTTCCCATGCAGCTGGAGTTTCTTGAACATCCTCTCCTAATTTATAAAATTAAACCAACAATTACTACTTATAGAACTCAGATCCAAATAACAGCTATAGATAAGAAGATTTTAATTATAACATTCAAATAAGCATTGATATTATTTAAACTGTTAGTAAATAGGAAATAAATTTTAATACACTATTGCAGGACAAAAATCTTCCATTCAATCTTATTTCAATTCTGGTAATAAAAACTATTATAAATAAATATGAATAAATACATTGAACAATCAACACATAAACTTCTTTACCTAATTTGGTTGACCAACGCTTTGAACACAAGATAATAAATACTGCAACAGATACTAGGATTCCAATGACAGCTATCAATGCACCCAATGCTGGACTGATTGGTATAAGTATTGCATCTGTAAAATAGTTATTTGATTATCTACTTTAAAATGAAATTCATCAATTATAACAGAAAAAATAAAATTATATCAGTTGATCCAAAAGCTGCACACATCAAACTTTCAAAAGTTGTACAAATTCTAAAATGGATATTAATAGCAAATTGTTTTAATCAATAACACCTTTACTTTGTTACAAATACTATATCACTTGAAATTTAACAGTTTATACTGTTAGCTTTAAAAACCATTTGTTTGGTGCAAGATGAACATGAGTTTTTCCTAAGCAGAACAAATGTTTACAATTGAACATTACTTCGCAATGTATAAATTTGATTGCAAAGCCAGTGAATGCTTCCACCTTCTTAAAATAAGGTTGCCAAGTGGAAAATCATAGTCTTGTTAGGTTCGTGAATATTTCAAATAGTCTCTTTAAATAGTTCAGCAACTTTTAAATAAAAATGCATTGAGAAGTAATGTTCAATCACAAAAATTAATTCCACTTAGAAAAAACTCTGCTCTATCTTGCACCAAGTAAATAATTTTTAAAGGTAACACATACTGCAGCTGAAATTTCAAGTGACGTATTACTTGTAACAATACAGGGGTGCCATCCATTGAAACAATTTGTTATTAATAGCTGTTCCAGTCTGAATAGACACTTTTCTTTGCCTTTGGATGGCAATATGAATATGAGTAGAAGCACTTTGATTTAGAGAACATTATGGGGCATGTGTGTGAGCTTTGGAACTTGCTTTCGATCTGTTTGATGCAACCTGAATGCTGCTGATGAGAAGTTAAATAGATTGAAAATTATATTAATTTGTTACAATTCTAATAAATTCCCTTTTAAACAAGACTGAATGTTAAGCAGCATTTAAATTTATTTTAGAACTTTGTTAGATACTTTATTATTTATTGCAGATTTTGTTTGCATTGGTGCAATTATATTTTTAGTTGTATTTTTGATTCTTTAATTTGATACTTACTATGTGTTTGAATTTATATTGGTTTGCTTCAAATGAGCTAAAACATGCTGCATTTGGATTTTATTTTCTTGGATAATTATTTACACTTCTCGTTCTATTTTATCGGAACTGGTGTAGCTGCCCCGCATGGATTTATTATACATTTGGTACATCCTGTGAGCTGGAAAGAAGGATTAAGAAGGAAACTTAATGATATTTCAATGAGCATTTGGAAGGAAACCTAAATGTCAAGATTTTAATTCCATTAAACAGTTGGATATACATCTGAAAAGGTAAAAACATTTATTTCCTTTATTTACAATGGAACTAGAAAAGCTGAAAAAGTATGAGCTAGTCAAAAATGCTCAATTAGATAACTTATCAGTAAAATAGATAAGAATATTGAAAAAAATAAGCCAGTGAGTAATTTCAAGGCATTATTAAATGAGGTGAACACTGAAATTGAAAATATCAAATCATTTGGTAATTCTATACTGAAAGAAACATATTTAAAGAATTTTGATGTGGAAATTAATTCCTTAGAATAGTATCACAATAATCTATTACAATACATGAGTAATCTAATTCTTAAAATAGAAGAAGATCAGAAAGTACTAGAGATTATAATTCTAATGAAGAAGTAAATATATTAAAGCTTTAATTATCTTTTGAATTGAAGTACAGAAACTTCATCTACAAAATTACCTAAATTGGCTATAAATAAATTTATTTTGTGATTTAAGCAATTGGCAGAAATTATGGAGTCAGTATGAAGCTGCAATCCATAATGATGACTCATTATTGAAAATAAATCTATATGATCAGTGTGAAACTCAAATTAGATGCTTTAAGTCAATGAATGTGATATCAGAAACTTACGGTAGCTTACTTTGTCCAATATTATTAATTCCTTCAGAGATTTCATTAGAATATAGTCACAACAGAAATAATGATCAAATGTGGAATGTTAACGAATAAATAATTAAAACTTTATACAAAAAAATGTTTCAGTCCTTTTCATCTTATCATAAGCAGACTAATAAATAATTAGGCAAAATAAAATAAAGTTTTACTCAAAAGCCAGAATCAGTTTAAAATTGAATTAGTTTAATTAATAATAAAAAATAAAAGCATACCTTTGTCAGGTACTGCATCAGATTTTGTTACAACACTAAAAGCAACAGCATTGCTTCTACCCAAATCATTAGTAGCAAACACAACAGCAATAAATGAAGTACCCTGAGGCAACTCATTTATCTGAAACTCGGGTAAACTTTTCTCTTTAGATGTAGCCACCAAGCCTTTAGAGCTATACAACTCTATATGGAATTCTTGTGAAAGTCCTCCATCATATCCAGGACTGCAACTTACAAATGCTGAACTAAGGGTCTCATTACTTACGATACAGTTTTCTACAGGACTAGGAACAGCTAAAGAAGGAAATAACAATAAAAAAGTATTATACCTTTACTACTACTATGCAATAAACAGTATTTTCTACTAAAAATGAACCACAAACATAAAGTTTTTTTTTTTTTAAGATTAATTAAATTATAGTTATTCTATAGATGAAATAATGCAATAATTTTGAAATTTATAAATTAAAACATAATTTATTCATAATCAGTACAAAAATTAGGAATCTGTAAGGGCATTATTACGATAATAATACATGGTGCTGACTCACGTTATTTGTACTATGACAAAGCATACACAAACTAACTGCGTGAGGGAAGGAATGCCATTGTGGAGGTTTTTTTAAAGGAAACTGGCAGAAATTCCAATTACACATGGGAAAAAGCATGAAAACTCCTATACATCCAACTTGTTCACCAGGATTTGGACTCAGGTTGAATTACCAGTGTTTAGCAATCTTATTAATTAGCCACTGGTAGGCCAATTAGTTTTATGGAGTATCAACAGATGTAAGGTATCAATTAATAATATTTTAATACATGTTTAAACAGCAACAAATACGATGAAGATGACTAAATATTAATAATTCAATTATTGTAAGTAAAACCAAATCATCTTGATAAAAAATTAAATTCTGTCATTTCCTGTACAGTTGCAGTACTTATTTTATTTAAATGTGATAACACTGTATATTTGTAATTTACCGAATTAACTTGACCATAGTTATGTGTGACACGTTAATATTACATTATATATAACAATCAGTGTTATTCAAGGTCCCACTTAACCCTTTGGTTGCAAGATTAAGCAATTCTTTCTTTCCAAATACGCGCAATATCAATCAGTCATAATAAATTTGTAATGCGAGCTCATTTGTTTGTGCCCACTATGGGTGTAACTGGAGCTGAGTTTGTTCATGACCATCAAAGGGTTTAACCATACTTAATTCTTGGATGTGTAGAAGGAGGGCACTCATAAAGATGTATGGCAGCAAAATTTGTTACCGAAACATAACCTGAATAACTGTATATCTAAAACCAGTACAAGTTCAGTGTGCTTTTCATTTATAATCTAAGATGAATTCAGCTCAAAAAGTTTCATATAAAGGAATATTACATACACAAAATTAATTGTTAATTTTATAAAAACTACAAAATTTATATTATCACTTACATGCTGGAGATATTTTGAAACAGCAAGCTTCTTTTTGTAACCCAGCACCATTCTCTGCAAGGCACATTAAATGACCATAATCACTTTCTCGTTTTGGAACATACTGCAAAATGCTTACGGTGCCATTGACTATAAAATTCTTCAGTGGAATTTGTCGAAGTGTGTTGTTTAAATACCACTGAAACTTCACATATTCAGGAAATGCTTCCACTTCACATACAATATCCACAGAATCACGAAGAGCAACTCCGTATGAAACTCGTTGATTAGCAGTGCAATAAGGAACATCTATAAATAAAGCGATTATGATAAAAATAAAATCTGTGCTCTTAAATGAAGAAACAGAAAAAAAATATATAAATTGGATTATTGTGAAATATTATAATATGTATCCTTTTGTTAAAGAATACATTATTTTATTACCATAATTGATATTTTGTTGCTACTACAAAGCACAGTGAAAAAATTAATTTTTAGATTTGAGGCAGATCCCAAAGAACGGGAAAGTATCTGCTGGCAATACTGGCATTTTCCTTTTTTTCTTTAATTTGACAAAATGATACCAAATATTGCCCAAAGTTCTTCTATTCGGGAAGGTCCAAATTTTGTTCTGTAAACTTGAAAAAATACATTAGATGGAAAAATTTATGTTTATAAATATACACTAATTTTAAAGAAGATTTAAAAAGAAATTCACAGTTCTTGATTACAAGATGTTAGTAAAATAAGTAAATAAATTAAAATATAATTTATTATTTTACATAAATATTACAATAATATTGTATTAAAAGAGTAATACCTAATATATGTAACTATGATATAGTATTCAAAGAATTAAAATGAAACTTAAAGGAACAGCTCCAAAAACCAAAACTCTGCAGGAGCCATATTTGCGGCTAGAGCAACAGTCAGAATCAGATCCAGAGACAGAGCAATGAAAATCACAACTCCAAAGGACTTGAGAATCTGAGGAATTAGTTCCTATAATCTATGTACTTTAATCCCTTGAGGAATAGCTTGCAGAGAACGAAGCACAGTCATGAGACCGAGCCCCCTCCCAAAATAGAATGTTGCCACTGGCCTACACGTTTTCAATAGTTAAGCTTAATTTTACACACACATACAAAACAAAACAAAAAAAGGGGGGAAATATATAAAATCAGCATTTTAATATAATGAACTCAATTTTTGAAGTTACGTCTTTAACATACTAATTCTTAATATGTATAAATATAAAAAATATCAAATGAACAGAAATAAATTAAACATGTGAAATACTAAAATTATAAACATAACATGAAAACACATTACAAATACCGAATTTAATCCTCTCAGCGTTACGGCCGGAAAGTTCCGCATAGAAGGCTGCCTTTTATATTCATTATACATGAATATTTCTGATAGATTTTAATATATCTGATTTCGGTTTGGATGTATATTGGAAGAAAAGGAATCAAGGTAAAAACTGAGAGAGTCATTTTTTAATTAAAATATATAAAATACCACTTATTCATGACATTTTTAGGAACTTTGAAATTTCAGGTCTAAACCTGTAACGCTCGGAGGGTTAAAAGAAAATTAAGCAATAATTAATTATAGATAATTTAATTCCAATTTAAAAATTCTGCTGTCTGTGTGGAATAATTCAAAACGAGGATCAACACACAGGACAATGAAGGCTTTTTTCACTGAGGGAGTAAGACACATCACGCATCGGGAAAATTTTCCCTTCTGTAATAATGCTGTGATGTTAATTTTTAACTATCCAAGAAAGCCTATGTTAAGTTTTAAAATAAACATAAAAAAGACAATTGGTCTGAGGTTTTCCATCACAGAAGTTCAGCAATGTTACACCTAGATGCATTTTCTCACATTCTCCAGATAAAAAAAGCAAATAGTATAAATGAAAACATTAATGAATGGATGCACTTCCCCACATTTTAATAACAAAAAGAAAAGAAAAGAACAACAACAAAAAAAAAAAAAAAATCCTAATGAAATAAACAAAAACACAGGTGTCCCTTTAATTAAACGAGCTGTGATTCCCAGTTTACTAACACCAATTAATCTATCAAAACCAGAAGCAAAGAACAGAAACTGATGCCCATACATGGAGGTCAAAAGCCATATGACTTAACCGGTACAAAAACCATTACCATTTAATGCAATCTTCTGTCATTTAAAAATTCAAATAAATCATTCCGTTTTCAAATTATGCACATGTGACGCTGGGCTAAAGAGACTGATCAGAGCTCTTCGTGTAGAAGCGATGCTGGGCTGGTAACATTGGATTCATTGCATCGTGGCTATGTGACATTGGTCATGAATGGGTTAAACAGATCCTTGTACTGCCAGATGGGGGTGGGGAACTCCATCCATTTGTGAACGGGGGTAGTTTAGCTGAGATGTATCGTTTATTTAATGTTCTCTTTTTTAAAATACTAGATAGAACACAAGCAAACGAAAAGGACACATATATACATACACACATAAAAAATAGGTCAGAGACACTTCTGTAAATAATAAGGGAAACATTGCTAGCGCCAGAGCGCTAATCATTTTTTGCAGACTTTGTAAGCCGGATCCAATTCGTAGATTAAGGAACAACGCAATCTGCAACATTAACTGAATTAGATAATTTTAGCTTACCTCCGTTACACATTACACGCGCATGCGCACAAACATATTCGCAGCTGTAAAGGTCTTATGCGCACTCGTAAACGCCTGTGTGCATGCGTGAACGCAACGCATGCGCAGAAAGTTTGTAGCTTTGAGGGTCCGGATTATGGGTGTCCGAATTAACGACTTTTGACTGTACTTACAAATACATTAACCTTAGACAAGGATGAACTTCAAATCTATGTTGAAGCATTTAAGAAGGGATTTTCCAAAAGATGCAAAGCCTTTAAAGCTTGTATGCCTACATTTTTCTTCTTAATCAAACCAGACTTGATAGATCCATTTAGAATCCCATTCGATTTGTTAATTTTTTGAGAGGATGGAAGCTGATAATTTTGAAATAGAACTTATTGAACTAACATCTTCAGAATTATGGAAAGCAAAATTTATGGAATTATGAAAAAATCTCGAAGATAACTCTAACGATAAATTGACAGCTATTTTAAATTGTTGGATGTCAATGCTGTAGAGATTTTATTGTTTGAAGAAAATTGCATGTGCTCTGCTTTTGGTTTTACATATCAATGTGAACAAATCTTTTCTCATGTGAAAAATATTTTGAGTCCACAAAGAAGTTGTTTAACAAACGAATATTCAGAATCATGTGTCAAAGTCACAAATTATAACCCTGTATTAAGTAGGGACAATAGTAGCAATATTAAGTAGGGACAAGGTACAGGTACAAGATTTGCATTAAAATTAAAAATTTTTATTTAACTATACTGATGGAATACTTATATTTTACTTCATTTATTTTTTATTTTAATAAAAATGTTTAAATGATACATAATACATAATATATGTACAGTTTAAATTTTTTATTTATGTGAAAGGAATAGTTATGTTGTTCATTTTAATGTTAACAAATATCTTTTAATAATGCATAATTAATATATAATAAGACTCTAAATCTGTATTCTTGTCTTCTATTCCCTAACTCTGCAAGCATTGCTGCAGGAATTGAACTGTTTCAAAGATTTCCTACTGTGCGACATCCTGAGTCATAATGGTAGATTGGTTTTGCACATCACAACTACAAGGTTGCCAACCCCTGGTATAATGTTTTGCTTACACTTTTGTTTTGGTTTTCTAGTATTTATTTTCCCTATATTTGTAGATGGATTTTGCAGTATGCCAGTGCTAGACTCTACAGAAAGGCAAAATGCAGAGGGTGTTTATATATTTTTAGAATGACTTCAATAAAGAATTAAAAAAAAGCATTTGTTTTGGAATAAAAATTTCTAGTAACAGCTTATTATTTGAAATGGGAAATCGTCTACTCTTAAATTTATCCTTCTTTGAAAATGTTGCACATAAATAAGCTGTGGACTGAAGAACGTGTTTTTGTGCACTCTGAAGAGAAATATTCCTATTTAATAATTCAAAAACATTATGAAATACATATTAAAATATCTATGTGCAAAATAAGCAACAGTATTTATTAGAAAGGTAAAAACCATCAATTATTATTTCTATGAATACCCCAAAAAGATACATACTATTTCTAATGTTTCTAAGCTCTTAAACTCAAGTAAAAAATTAAATATGCAAACACAGAAATTAATAACAAAGTCTTTAAAATACATCTGTAGCAACAATAATTTAAAAAATAAACCAAGATTCACAACTTAACCTTTTCACGTGGGCAACAGAGATTATTTTTTTTATTGAAGCCATTTAGTCAGCTATTCAATCAGCAAGGATTAGAAAAACAAATCAACAAGGTCAGCCATTTCCTATGCTGTATTAAGCAGCAAATTTTAAAAATCAGTAGCAAACTAAAATCTAAATGACAGCATCCCCCCTCAAAAAAATGTCTATTTATTATTGAAAATGATGAGGAAAAACGCATATTAACTTGGTTTTGTCAGTGCAAAGAATGTTTCAGTAAAGAGTTTGTGATTGTCACAGGATTCTCTTACAAGAGAAATACAAAATATGAAGAGTGGGGGAGGGGAGTTAAAATCAACTCGACATAGTGTCAAGAGAAAATTTTTATATATATTTATTAGATATTTACAGAAGAAATTCCATTTCTTTATCCCAGTGACTTACAAAGAATGAAACTTTATCAAGACAAAGCAAAAAAGTCATACTTTGAAAAGTACCACTACATAGAAAAATGAAGACTGATAAAAATACTGCATATATATGCTTTCAACATATTCCTGCGAAGGCCTTCGAGTTTCGTTTCACCTATGAACTATTGTGTCTTTGGTCTCAAAAAAAAGAGTCTGTATGGTTTACTAATTTGCTTAACCAGTGATATCATATATTAATTTAGAAGTCAAACAACAGAAATCAGCACTATATTTGCAAATTTTCACAGGATTAGTTTCAACCGAACCATCATCCTCAGCTGCCAAAGTGAAAATGAACGAGATAAGATATGTTGTTGTCCTATCCATATTACATGGAACAATGGTTGCCAGAGACTACTCCGAAGAGAGATTGGACTTCTATTTTCCACCCCCAATTTCGAGGGAGGGATCCGGGTGGATTTGAGGGATCTCCCACTCTTTTTCCCTTCCACCAATCCACATGAGAGGACTTTCCGCTCACTGCATATTTAGAGTGCCACACCGACACTATACATTTAAAAACATTCATGCCTTCTCCGGGATTCGAACCTAGGCTTTTCAGTACCATAATAGGCTTCCTTAACTGCTAAACTGTCTGAGCGACAAGAGATAAGATATAGTTGATTGATATAGATAAGATATACATTTTTGTTGTTTGAATTCTAAATTAATATTTGTTCAGCGTGTTAATTTACCATCAGTGATTTCATGCTTTGTAACTTTACTGTCAGTTCTCTCCTTCCATTTCCCTGCCAGAATGCAAATTAGTTCACATATATTAAAGTGGAGATTTGAAATTGTGAAGTCAAAACATGTTTGGCCTAGGGAAAATAACATTGCTCAATGTGCTATTCTAAAAGAAGAGTTCCTGTCCTGGGCTGTGCATTATAACTGCAGATAATATTTCATGCAAGTGAAGCTTAAAGAGCTAACTTTGGATTAATTTACTCTGCATTGCCTTTGGCTATTAACTACAGTCAAAAGTCGTTAATCCGGACTCGTCGGGACTTCGGCGATTCCGGATTATCGATCATCAGTTTAAATCTGGTAAAATGGCATGCAGAAATTAAAAAATTAAAAATATGAAACCATAATTTACGAAATAAAGAACAATTATGATCTAAAGTGTATCAAAATTTACGAAAAAAAAAAGCTTAATATTTATTTGTTTACTTTATTAAACATTTCTTTCAATGTAAGTTGTTTAAGTTGCTTCGTTTTTTATGTGATAATACATTCTCTTTGATTCTATAAACAGACATAATTTCTTGTTCAGTTACAAAGTTTCGCTGTTCAAGTCCTATAATTGCTTTGTCGAGAATACCGAACTAATTTGTCAATCGAAATTTTTTCGTTTTCAATAACCTCTGTCACTTTCTTCGCTATCGGAGGCATTCATCGAGATGAAATACTTCATTTAGTAAGCAATTATAAGCCATAAAATAAAAACATCTGTCCTGAAGATAAGGATAGTGCTGACAGATCAACTTCCAATTCATTGCGCACTGCAGTGTTAAAGATAAACAGAGTTTAGATAAACAAAGGATATGCCTTTATCCATTTTTTGCAGCAATTTCACTTTTTGTTTAATGGACTCCGAAACATACTTTCGCTTTGTAGATCCTTTACATATTAGTAAATATAAATCGGAAATTCTATTTGACATAATCGAAAGTTCAAGCTTACTTTTATAAAACTGCTCTAACAGTCTGCAAAAAATAATAAGCCAGATCCAATTCGAAGATTAAGGAACAATGCAATCTGCAACATTAACTGAAATAGATAATTAGATAATTTTAGCTTAGCTTATACTGTCCGTTATACATTAAACGCACATTCATAAACGTATTTTGCGCACGCAAATTCGTAGCCGTAAAGGTCTTACGCGCATGCGTCAAAGCGATGCATGCGCAGAAAGTTTGTAGCTTTGAGGTCCGGATTATAGATAATTCCGGATTATGGATGTCCAAATTAACGACTTTTGACTGTATTTAGATTTTGAATTACATAGAATTCTATTTTGAGTTCTCACCATAAATGCTGGCTGAGTTGCAAGCACCAGGTGTGCCTTCTGTTCCTCTTATTTAGTTTTGAAATAAAGTATTTTTTACACCCTTCTAAAGTCTCTGTAGTACTTTGAAGACATAGCAATAACTTTCTTACAGTCACACTGAGATTTAGTCACAAGTTAAAAGCTAATACCTTATAAGCTTTTATTAAGTACAAACCCACTACAATTGATAGTCTTCGGAAGGTAGTGAAAGGGGAACTGAAATCAGTCCCCCTGGTAATTCTACAAAAACCTTTCTATCATGGATATCACAATGAACACTTAATAGTCCAGAAAAAAGGCCATCTAATTGAATATTTTAAAAACTGTTTATGTTTGTCAAAAAAATCATTTGCATATGTGCCTAACAAAAATTGCCAATAAATCTGCTAACATGTTGAATTTCTGAGAACAGAAATTTTATTTTTTTACATCCAAAACTATGCATAGAATACAGACATTCCTAGATTACTGGAATTCTGTTGTTTTGGCAAAGCATTTTGCTTTTGTCATAGATAAGTATGTACTGATTCATAAAATATGTTTAGAATATCTATTATCTACTTTTTTTATAATTCAGAGTAACTTTCTAAATAATGGAAACAAAAACAGATCATAATTAAAACGTATCACCGTCATATCAGTAACAACACTTACATTGAACATTAATCACAACACTATCACTTATGCCTTCTCCTTCAGAATTGGCAGCAATGCAAGAATAATTTCCAGACTGTTTTCTATTTATTTGATGTAAAAGGAGTGACCTATTCTGTACTTTGATACCGGTGTTAACATCAGTATAAATGGGGTCATCACCAAATCGCCATCCAACTTCTGTTGCAGGAGGATTAGCATCTATGTTACAGTCAAAATAAACAATATCCCCTTCCATAATGTATGCATGAGGTGCTCCAACTGTTACTGATAATGACGGAACATCTATGAGTATAAAAAAAGCAAGATGCATTAGACAGATAATATAACAGCATTCATTTCAATAATAATGTTGTTTCCAACACAGATAAATAACTAAAATTGCACAAAATATCATTCTTTTATTACATTTGTATTGAATGAAAGCAGCTCTTCATTTTCCTATACAAATAAAACTAATACATTAAATTTCAATAAACAGAATAAATTTTTAAAATACTCTTATTGTATATGCACCAAAAAGTATAATAAAACTAATTATAGATGGTTATTTCATTAAAACAGAAAATAAGACAAATTTAGTTCAGACATCATCGCTTTAACTGGCAAAGTGTAAAAGAGTACAAATTAAAAATGAGTTTACAAAACTCCTAGCACTGATACAGCTTAATGGTTAAAAATGATAACTGCAGTTCTGCATTATTTAATTCCTATTGTACAATTATTTACCAAGACAGAGTACTCAGATTGAATTATTTAAGGCATGGCAAAGCACATCAGGACCATCTGCCATTTGCTCAATTTTCATTTAAAGTCCACTTGAGGAGAGAACCAACATTTTTTGTGCATTTTATCCTTCCAATCTCTAGCAAGGACTTTTGAATCAACTCATTTCAAGTATGTAATTCTGCAACAAAACTATCAGGGTTCATAGCCACATTTTAGTTAAAAAAATAAGCACCTATAAGCACTTTTCAAGGATATTTTAAGAAAAAAAATAAGCACCTGTCTAATTACATTATACACAACTGTATAACCTTAAAAATTAGACTTGTAATTTAAAATATGAGAAATGCAGTATTTATTAAGAGAGAATAAGCATTACCTCAAACATGGAAAATAATTACTTTTTTTTTTTTTTAAATTTTAAATAACAGTTCAATTTACAGAACTAGTTTACAATGAGAGGAAAAAAAAAACTATGCAGTACTAAACTATATTACAAGATTTAATGATGAAATTTCAGTTCAAAATAGAGAAAATAAATAATAATAAGGCACATTTATTGTATTCGCTTGGAACCTAATAATAAATACAATTTATTTTTCCACTCATATTGATATTTAAATAATTTAAATCTAAATTCTGAACATTTTCTAAATTTTCATTGTATATCAGTTTTTTCTTAACAGATATTGCAAGCAAAGTAATTTTAAGTAAAAATTAGGAACATTTCTGAAATCAGAAGACAGAAATTTGCTTCAGGCAGTCATCCTTTCGCAGTAAAAGCTTAACTAACGCGCATAGTTGGAAATTGGCAAATATTCGGACAGTCGAGCGTAACTTGAAAAAGAGGAGTGAAGGGCGGTAGACTGTAGCTGCTCTTCAGATTTTTCTGCTAAATAAATGCTTTTGACATTTCGATATGTGCATCATATAAAAATAAACCAATGGAACTGAAAAATATTCTGCTTAGCAAATACAGTAAAACTCTTTTAAGTGTTCATAAACAAATCTCGGACAGAACATCAAAATTAATTATCTCTGCAAAATATCGCAAATGTTATTGCACAATACATGTGCCGCAATTCTTCCCTACGTGATATTACGCAATAGGAATCAACAGCTGATGGTATTGGGAGAATAAAGAACCAAATAACTGGGGTGTTTTTCATTTTAATTTTCAACAGACGGCGTTAAATTTCTGGAATAGAATCATTCTTCGCTTGGGTTGGTAGACCGCAGAACTTTTAGTCCTATTCAATCCAGATTGGGAAAAAAAAAAAAAAAAAAAAAAGGTCTGGTTCTTGTTTTGCAGTAAACTGTAACAGTTTCAATATTCGAGATTATGTGGAGAAAGGTGAGAACCTCCCAATCTTCGTACTGTAGAATGTATTGGCCAAAAAAATGAAATTATTTTGACTACTCGATTACTTTCCCTTTATTTAAGCCATTTCGAATATTATTCCTTAGAAAGCTGTGTTAAAACACAACCCTTTTTGGAAGTTTACTATACTTCAGCAGTTACTGCAAACTATGTTATTATAAAACATTCATACATATGCTCATAATATAAAGCATAATGACATAATAAACGAATATGAGCTGACCAGTGGAATGAGAATGCAAATTATAAGATATCGATGGAAATTCAAGCGTGTGTGTGTAGTATTTGGGTGGGAGGAAAAGAATGCCGAATGTACCGGAATTTTCTATGCTTTCGCATTCTTTACCAATAGAACGGGCACTGTCTGTACTCTCCGTGCACACTAAAGGTTATGTTAATGCAGAGAAAGGGGAGAAAAGCTATTTCTGGGAGTATGATTCACCATCTGACATTCCATATTATGAAGAAAAGTTAATTATTTTGGAAAAATAGCACGTTCATTAAAAAAAAAGCAATAAAAGCAAAAAATAAGCACTAAAAACAAAAAAATAAGGGCTTTAAAGAAAAAGTAAGCACCTATGAGGGCCTTTATATTTTATTTTCAAATATAAGGACTTAATAAGCACTGATAAGGATCACTACGAACCCTGACTATAGTCACAAACACTCATGCTTTATTCAGATTTGAACCCAAGCTCAATCGTGTGGTAACCAGCTTTTATTAACCAGCATACTGACTACATTTGTCATATTAATAGCAAAGCCCCCCTCCCCTCAAATGGCGGGCACAAGTCATCATAGATGTTGGCCACTACTAAGGCCAGAAATAGTGGTCACTTTATTATGAAGGAACCTAATAGGTAGACCACTTTTTGCCTCCTATGAAGGGACAGATTGTTACAACCATGCTTATCCAGGATTTGAATGCAGTATTAGTATTGCATTCGGTTCCCCTATATAGTACACTGTCTGAGCGGCTTAATAGAAAAGTTAATTAGTATAAACCAAACTTTAAAGTGTAGTTTAGTAAAGCATTATGATTTTAATATAAGGATACTATATTTCCAAATTATATAAAAACTTTTTTTTATTTACTTTTTCTAAATAAAATATGCATGTTAATAAATTTGAAAACTTCCTACAGATATTTTCTTCTTTCTTATTATATATCAATTACATGTACCTGAAATGATTCTATTAATCTTATTAGAAATGAAAATAAATCTTTTGACCTCCCTTCCCAAAACTTTTTTCTTTCAAGAAAAGTTTAAGACATAAATAATGCTCAAATTATTTTTTATGCATTTTCCTTAAACATAAAATATTTTGTATGCTTTTTAATAAAAATTATATATATAATAATAAAGAAGAATATATAATTTTCTGAATTGCATAACAAAAGATTTCATAAACAAAGACTTTATACACATACCACTTACATTGTTATGATTTAGTTTTTGTTTATTTCTTATATATATATAATTTACTTTGTTATGTTTTTTTTTGTTTGTTTCACCTTAATTAAATCAGATGAAAATTTCTTCCCAATCGATATGTATAGATAATAGCAGCAAATTAATCAATAACATTTTCTCATAAAATCCAAATACTACATACAAAAGAGTACTACAGAAAATTATAAATAAAGTCATACAATGTATATTTAGGACACGATGATCTTCTAATATATTCCCATCCATGACCGGATTTGTTGCTCTGCATGACAAAACACGATTGTGATCATCAGCAGTAGGCACATACATAAGTTTGCTGATTGTAGTGGTATCATAAATTGTCTCTGAAACATTTAAAAGCTGTCTGCTCCCAATCCACCAAGTTATGATAGCAGGAGGCCTTGAACCACTTGATTGGCACTTCATTACGGTCCACCTACCAGCAGACAGTGGACGTTGGAGTGTTGTTATATGGACATTTAGTGGCTTTACTGGAAAAAGAAATATATTTATATATTTTCAAAACACAAATGAATAAAATAACAGAATTTTTAAATACATAAATTTGCAAATTATTTACCTAAGCTATACACTGAAAATCAAGTTTATTGAAAAATGTTACCTTAAAAAAGGAAAGGGGTCTACTGAAATAGCTGAAAGTAACAGCGTTAAAATAAATTAGTGTCACTTCTGCATAATGAAACCCGGCAATGTCACAAAATTTTTTAAAAAAAAGTATCAAATGATATATATTGGCAAGAGAGGATTCTATTTATGTTCAGATGCAGAAGTAAAAAAAAAAAAAAAAAAAGAATTTGTTCTTGCTTTGAACTTGCGCTTCATTCTTTTTAGCATGTTACCTCCTTGTATTGAATATACTCCTGATACTTTGCCTAATAGGTAAGCCTGAAGATATTTAAAACTTATAAATGAGTATATTGTAAGTTCTATATTTGAACGCTTTCATTTCTATTCTATTTGCCTTCTATTTTAGTTAAGCAAATTCTCTAACTTGTTAAACAAAAATTTCATAGTTATTCTACTTATGATTCTTTATTAAAATTGTGCTAAAAAGATTATAGCATACTCAAATGCCTAAACTGTGTTAAATGCATGACATATCATGGCAGTTAAATTTTTGCTGTTTCATTTACTGTTAATTCATTTATACTACATTCATACAATGCTCATTTACTGCAGGTCTGTTGCTAGCAACTTTTCATCTTGCACAGCTATCACTTTTATCATCGGTAAATGTATGTCTAGAAGCAATTATTTTACTTACATAATGCTTCAAACCTATAGTGAATTAAATAGTTGATGAGATACAGTACAATAAAGTGGAATGATGATAATACATTTTGCATTTTCTTATGTAGGCAGTATTGTCAAGAAAATTTTGAATGAGACAGGTGGATTGGAATTTGGAATGCATTATTACGAACGCTATAAGAAAGTAAAAAGAAAATGCATAGCCATGCATAACTAACTTAAAGGAAAATAGTGTACATAATAATGCAAAGTACATCAGTCCTCTCACATTCTATGATTTTTATAAAAGCCACACTAAAATGGCACTTTTGTATTTGTGAAATCACTTTGGTGCAATTCAGAGATATTTTACAAAAGAAAAGGAATGATGACTTACAAAAAAATTATTTATTACATGCATTAGAGAGTTTTATGTTTTAATTATTATTTATGCCACATTTTTTTTGGGGGGGAGGGGGATGCATATGTGTGTGCAGATTTTACAGCAGTTTCTTATAAATGAGTAATTGTTCTTTTCAGCAATTGTTCTTTTCAGAGATTTTGCTTTAAAATACCGTATGCCGGCAGAAAGTTTTTTGATGGAAAATCTCGTAAGTTCATATTTTTAAATCGAGTTTAACACACACACACACACACACACACACACCACACACACAAAAAAAAAAAAAAAAAAAAAAAAAAAAAAAAAAAAAAAAAAAAAATTAAAAAATAATTATAGTTTTGTTCATAAAAATTGTTGAAGCTTGGAATACAAAACTGTTGCATGCGTACGGGTTCATAATAGATTGAATGCACAAGTCTGATGAAAAGTTAATAAAATTTATTCTTATCCCAAGAAATAAAACAAAATGCTGAAATTTTTCCTCACAGATATTAATACAACATCACAGTATCACACAGTAGTTATATTTTAAACTACTAAAACATTAAATAGAACACAATTCAAAGTGCAGAGAAAGCTAATCTGATCTCACCAAGAATACACTACAATGAACAAAAATGGACACGCTCCTATATTTTTACTTTTTTAGCATAGCTTTCTCTTAAAACTCATCAAGCGCTACATTGCACGGGGAAATAAAACAATTTTAATTATAATTCTACTAAAAATAGCTAATTAAATACAAATTCCATAAAACTTCCCAAGGACTGCACATTCCTGGCAGTACAATCCCTAGGCAGGAACCCAAACTTACAATCAAGGCATAAATGCAATAATAAACACTACACTAACAATATAAACATGAACAATAATTACAATAATTAACTTTAAACAAATCAAATGCTATCGAATACTAAATACAAATAAAATCAAATACACATTTAGAAACGAAGAGGACTACGGTCTTGTACTATATACATTATGTCCTATGCTATAGTACAGAGCTAGCCTGTCGTAACAAACAACTTTAGATTTTGATGACTTATGGATCCGAACCACGACGTCGTTCAGCCTGTTTAGGGCTGCGTACTGACAATTCCAAGGTGACTGTAGTTTCCGACAGAGTCCTTTCCGTCGAGTTGGATTCCACAACCACACTTTGTTTCTTATGTCCAGTAGATCTGGTGTCGTATTGGGTCTTCATCTTCTCTGTTGCCAAGTTGACTCACTCTCGTGCAAAGTTGTGCATCACTTCAAACCGGGGCTGGTGATTTTGAATGTCTTCCTCAGGAGATGAAGGTGCATTTGGAGGGTGACCAAACAAAAAATCACAAGGCAGACAAAGGTCTCGACTGAAGAGCATCTGGGATAGAGAATAACCAGTGGTCTCGTGTTTCTCTTTGACCCTAGTCTCTGGTTTTCTGGAAGAGTATGAAAAGTATCCGCAGCGTCTGCTCTCAGAGAAGTGGCGAGGTGATGGGACTTAGCTTGGGAATCCCATCCATTCACTTCCACCACTACAGAAAATTGTGTTTTATTCATTTGTCAAGAGGTCTTACCATCATATGTAGATAGTTTCAGAGAGGGACGAGCAGGCATCAGTAAAAATTTAAAACCATCTGTATCACTCCCTGCCGTCACTATAAAAATTTCTTCAAAGTATCAACTTCTTGTGCAACTGCTGAAACCCTGTCATCAATTTGTTGCTCAATTTGTTGTTGGATGGCAGAAACTCTTCCTTCTATTTGTTCTTTCATAGAAGAAACTTTTTCTTCAATGTGTCCAACTCTGTTTTCAACCGTGTCAATTCTGTCTTCCATAGCTTCAAATTTGTTTTCTGTTATGCAGCTGATTTCTCTTTTCATTTCCTGCTTGGCGCACTTTCATTTCCTCTTTAATAGCTTTCATTTCATTTTAACTGATTCTTGACTATAAAAATTTCTTCAAAGTATCTCTGAAACCCTGTCATCAATTTGTTGCTCAATTTGTTGTTGGACGGCAGAAACTCTTCCTTCTATTTGTTCTTTCATAGAAGAAACTCTTTCTTCAATGTCTCCAACTCTGTTTTCAACCGTGTAAATTCTGCCTTCCATAGCTTCAAATTTGTTTTCTATTATGCAGCCGATTTCTCTTTTCATTTCCTGCTTGGCGCACTTTCATTTCCTCTTTAATAGCTTTCATCTCATTTTAACTGATTCTTGACTAGCTTCCATCTTTGCTTTAACTGATTCTTGGCCAGCTTTAATCTCTTCTTTAAAAGATGCGTGGCTAGCTTCCATTTCTTGTAATGCAGCAAAAGCAGTGACGAGCTTTCTCTGGTTGCTTGTTCTTCCATTCCTCTAGTTATTGGCATTCAAACCCCACTCCTGACACCAAAAAGTGTTGCGTGTGTATGGGTTTATAATAGATTGAATGCATAAGTCTGATGAAAAGTTAATAAAATTTATTCTTATTCCACGAAATAAAACAAAATGCAGAAATGTTTGCTCACAGATATTCATACAATATCACACAGTAGTTATATTTTAAACTAGTAAAATGTTAAATAGAACACAATTCAAAGTGCAGAAAAAGCTAATCCGATCTCACCGCGAATTCGCTACAATCAACAAGAACTAAGTAAACAACTGAAGTGAGATGTTTTTCTCTGGCATTTTAAAGTTTTTTAATCATGCACGTGAACATTCAGATAATTTTTATTTTCTTGAGGTTTCTGTAAAGCAAAAGAGTAAAATTACAGTTACAGCTAACACACAATTGCATTTATTCAATTTAAATATAAATTATGAGATATCTATTTATTAAATGTTGTATTTTTGCTCCTGTATTTTTACTTTTTCGGCGTAGCTTTCTCTTAAAACTCGTCACGTGCTGCATTGCACGGGGAAATAAAACAATTTTAATTACAATTCTACTAAAAATAGCTAACTAAGTACAAATTCTGTAGTTTCCTGGTTTCTATACTTACATTTAGAAAAGTTTTAATGCCCGTTATGAAAAATTAAAAATACAAGAGATTTGACTCATGTACAACAAAAACTGACCACGATATTATATTCAAAATTTTCAGTTTTTTATGTCATTTTCAACTTGCATTGATCAGTTAATTTAGAATATTTGAGAAAACAAGTTTTAATGAAAAGAAGCACAAAAAAAAAAAAAAAAAAGTGTATAATTTAATTGGCCATACAAGGAAGTCACGCTTTCCACATCAGATTTTTTTCTGCGATAAAATTACTACCCTATAGATAACTAAAGTTGGATGTTCATGTATTAAAACAAAACTAAAAATTTTTTAACAAGACACATCAAAGTATGATTAATTAATAAAACCCCTAATAAAAACTTACACATTAAAATTAACGAATATACAAACATTACATAAAAGAGAATTTAATAACATGTAAAAATAATAATCAAACATAGTGATATAAAAAGACTTATAAAAAGTGAGTAGTTTACCAGTTGTTGAAAATTTGTACAAACAATGAATGTAACACACATCTTATTATAGAAAATTATGCATTATTCCTCTTATTGGTTGCGACAATTCCCCCCTTCTTTTTTCCAAATTCAAAATCATAGTGCAAATATATCAGACTGTATGAACAAACTTTCCATATAAAATAATATAATAGGAGTTATACTTGAAACAGTTCATTATATAAGAAAAACCTGATATTTTTTTGGGAAAATTGGCAAAGTTTTCTGTCTAAGGACAGAAATGCATTAAAAATCCTGATTTGATGTGATAACTTTCTTTACTGATTTAGGAAGTTTGTTGAAATACATAAAAAATAAATGCCAATTCGTTCTGCCCTTTGAAGTTGTTAAAGAGTATTTTAGCACTCTTTATGGTTGTAGCAGATCTTTCAGTTATGTATTAATGCAACAACCTTGGCACAATTTGGGATTTTTTTATAGATGAAAAGTTAAGTTACTTATTGGGTGCAAGTTAGTTGTTTTCATGACTTTTTTCAAAGAGATTCCTAAAATATTGATAATTACTGTTAAGTTGGCAAACACTATCAATATATTTTAGCAACTTAAAATAAAAATTTTAATTTTTAAATAATGATTATATGATATATTAAAAAATAAGACACATTCATCTCCAAATATTTTTTACACCATTCTTTTTCTTGGGTACACAGTGATATGTTTTCATTAAAAAAAATCAGAATTGCAAAGACTTGGCGCTTAACTTTGGCAGCACCGACTTTCTACGAAACGCATCTCCTCAATGTTCGCTTTAAGGACTTTGCTTCAAAATTCTGTGTTCTTGAAGAAATTTTACTGCAGTGTCTTCCACTGCTTGCAAATTCCACAAGCACATATTTTAAAACTAAGGCATAAAATATTATGATTTGTTGATAAAAGCTTTTGGAATAACAAAAAGAAAGTATGCAAAAATGACAACGTTTTTTGAATTAAGGATTGTTATGTAATGGTTGACAAAGTTTGGTACATTCTGAAAATTTGGCAACATCTGCTAAGATGGTTGTGATAACACATAAGTACCAATCTTTCCCATTTTAAGATAATACGATCACTAAGCAATTTTCTGCAGAAAGATATATATGCCAGTTTAATCTTAGGTATTAGTCATAGTTTATTAGTTTATTTAAGTGAATCTACACATCTTGGAATAAAGGCAAAAACACAAATGAAAGAAATCTTAGTTAACAGTCTTGCCTATTTGCCACTTTTAAATTATAAACTGCATTTTAAATTTAATGAACTCTTATTATTTTTTACACCAATAATCTTATTTTCAAAGTAAGTACTGTTAATAAAGTTCTTAAAATGTTCATTCTATTTCAGTTCTTTCTTTATTGAAATAACTAACCCAAGAAACACATTATTTATATGTAGAAAAGTTTACCATTATGTTATGCTGTACCAAAAACATCTGCAGCTGCTTCACCATTGAAAAAACAGTAGATGATTTCTGCAATTACCTTGAAATTTGAACAGTAGTAATTAGTGCAGATATCTGTGTCCCAATCTAGTAACAATAACAATGGTTTTTGATGGTAAAGCAGTATCTGGGGATCTTTCCTTGAATGGTTGAATTCTGTACGGTGCCTTAAGAAATATCCTCCCCCCTTTTCACATTTAATACACACACACACACACAAAAAAAAAAAAAAAAGAACCCCAGAGCTTTAATTTCTTATGCAATTTTGTGCAAAACATCAGCTAATCATGTTAAATGAAACACAGAATTTTTTAAAAAGAAGTGCTTTTGGTATCTTTATCATACAAATTGTTACATTGGATAACAATAAAAGTGTCATGTTTTATTCCATCAGATCAAAGCAATGAAAACGAACTGGTGAACAAATGGATAATGCCAGTGCTATTCATTTTTTCCAGTTTTTCTGCTGTTAATAAGAAAATTTTAAACACTTAGCTAGCAGGTTCTATTGCCCCAACAATGATATTAGCAACAAAGCTTCCTTTGTATCCACCATTTTTCTCAATGCTTATCCAATACATCCAAATATTTTTCATTTTGATTTTCCTCTCTTACTCAATTTAAAACTTCAGTATAGCAATCATCAAGATAATTTTTATGCAAGGTAGATTCCAAAGGAATTGTTTCTTTCATATATTTATGGAAAAAAAATGTCTTAGACTACCAATACTGTTCTCTAACATATTCATGTTAAACATAAATTTTACTATGAATATTCTATTGTAACCAGATTTTCTGTCAGAAACTAAATTCCAAACAAACTTAATAATGTAAATAGATTCATCTATTTTAATCACTAGAGATGATTACTAGATGTAAATATTAAATGATTTACTAGATGTAAATATTAAATACATAACTATTATAAGAAAATACACAGCATAAAATTAAAACCACTTACAGTTCAAATCTAAACTAATTGATGTTTTCGATGGTTCAGTTGCATTCGGAAGAGAAGCTTGGCACGTGAGAGTTGACATCAAATCTCTCCTGTCCAAATATGCCAAAGTCAGTTCATTTCGAACAACTCCTCTAGGCATAGTAACAAAGCTATCATCAAGCAGGAATGAATCTCGCCACCAAGTGACAATAGAGGGAATACCTTAAAGAATAAGTATGATATTGCATTTTCATAAAATTTTGCAGTTAAGTACAATGAACCAATCAAATGAAATGTGAATAAATTACTTAGCAAGAAAATACAAATAATTAGTACATAACATTAAAAAAAAAAAAAAAAAAAAAAAAAAAAAAAAAAAATACAGCATAAAAACTTAGTTTTAGTATTAACAGTTTAGCTGGACAACTTTTGCTTCACTATGAAAACAGCATTAAGTACTTTTAAGTTTATATAAAATATTATAAATTTCATACAAAGTAGGATATTTTCTGATTATCCTCACCTTTACCAAAAAGCTGTGAATTCACTGAGAGAGCATTCACAAACTTATAGGTGACTAATTTTTTACCATGCTAGTGCAGAAAAAACGAGCCATTTTCAAAATGGCAGCACACCGAGTATTCCATAAAAAGAGCAATAAATCAATAAAATTTTTTAAAAAGCAAAAAACATTGGTAATAAAACTCATATTGTTTTTTCAAGAAATCCTTCTGTGATGTTTTCGTACTGTTATTCTTCCCATATACACAGCAATCTGTCTCCATATAAAAACTTGGCTACATGCACAATTTTGGCTCAGCACAATGGCCAACAATAAATAAAACAAATAGCTGTTGTAAAGAAGATAAGGCTACCTTCAAAACAATTTGTGATCTGAATTCTAACACTTTGCTTACAATTTTTCTGATTGCATTTTCATAAAATTTGCAGTTAAAATTTTGCAGTTAAGTACAACTTCATAGAATTCTTTCTATGTTGTGCATTTTTTATGTTGTGCAAAATGCCATATTTTTGCAGAAGCGAAATGCTTTCTTTTCATCAGCTGGCAAACTCCACAGTACCATTACAAATTTGTTACAAGGGGAAAAAAAAAAAAAAAAAAAGCTGTATCTAAATTAAATGGTCATGTGGGGGCAGCCTTTTGTGTGTTCTCAGATGAGAAACTAAGCTTATAAAGGGAATATAGACTTTCTGACAATGCCTCTGTCTATCAGGCAGAGTTAGTGGTCCTGCAAGAGGCCTCATATTGGCTTATTTCTAATTCTACAATAGATGCTGTACATATCTATAGTGATTGTTTCAATTATGGATGTTTGTCCAAATAACGATCTAATTAAACAGATAAAAGACATGTTCATTTTTTTAGCGCATTCAGAGATATTAAACTCTTTTGGACGAAGAGTCATATTGGTACCATTGGTAACAAGTTAGCAGATAGATTGGCAAAGGCTGACACTAAAAATCAAATTATTGATTTTGAAGTAAAGCCTTCCTCTGACAGTTTGAAATCCTTGTTGAAAAGAAAAAGTTTGACTCTATGGCAAGCAAAGTGTAACGACCCAGATTCTAAAGGAAGATTCACATATAATTTAATCTCAACTGTAAGTGAGAGAAGATGCCTAAGTGACAAGTATCTAAACCAAGCTTTAACTAATCATGGACACTTTCCCTTTTTATTATACATACAAACATTCTCTATTCGTATATAAATATATACACTCACTTCCAAAAGTTAAGCACGGAGAGGAAAATGCTAATTTCCGGAAGCCAATCAGAATTGAAGAGGATGCAATTCCCTGCAGAGGCAGATGGAAGTATGCAAATATGTTAGGTAAGAGCCATCGTGCTTTCATGTCAAGAAATATGCAAAAAAAGGCAGTCTTATAAGAAGCCAGCTTTATGAAGAGTTACAGAAGTTAATTGTAAGTGCTGATAGAAGGTGTTTAAAACTTTTGTACAATTTGTTTTCAAAACATACATTTTTCTATGACTTCCAGAAGACGAATGGAAGATTCTAAGTGCTGGCGTGCTGTGGGGCGCATTGAAGCACGACAGTTGATCACAGATGTTGCTCTTTTCTTCGGCGTTCATCATTATGTAATTTCAAGAATATTGAAACAATTACAAACCACACAGACAGTTGTCCGAAGGTTCGTAGCCACACAGACAGTTGTCCGAAGGTTCGTAGCCAGTCACCCAAGGGTTACAACACATGTGGAAGATCGATATATTGCTATTGTAGCCAAGCGGAATCGCAGAGCGACCTCCACATGTGTGACATCTATGGTTACTTCCTCATAGAGCTGACATCGTCGATGACTACCTGGAGAGTGAAGGGATTGCGTGTATGGTGTGGCCAACATATTCGCCCGACCTTAATCCCATTGAAAATCTTTGGGATGCTCTCAGCCGTGCTGTATTTTCACGTTTCTCACCTCCAGCCTTTCTATTATTTAGCTTGGAAACTACTCTGCAAGAAGAATGGCGATTACTTAATTCTGCAGTGGTTTGACCACCTAATTGAAAGCATGATCACAAGGTGTAAACTTTGTATACAGATGCGGGGGGCTGGGGGATCCTATACCCTATTAATGTCCTTTTTTTTCATTTTATGCTGTTTATTTTCCCTTTATACATAATTCTGTTTAGGTCTGCAGTATGTCATTATCTGATAACTTACAAAAATTTAATATTGTTTTATTTCTGTATATAATTACTGATTTTGCTTTATGCATAAATATATATGCTACTTTCCTGCTGAATTTTGTGTCAATCAAAGCAGTATTTGTTGATGTTTTTCGCATTTTACATCTTCGTGCTTAACTTTTGGAAGTGAGTGTATTTACTTAGTTAAAAAAATTAATAATTAAAAAATTGCTGTTTTAATTTTAGAAGTGCAAATCCCCAAATATTTAAACAAGCAAATGCTACCCCACACATCTGAATTGCCACATAACACTTTTTGATGGCATCCTTAATGAAGTATGTGGATATGGATACAAAGTTTTCTATCTAGCATTCTATGTGTTGACATAGATGATCGCTGTTTGGCATATGACAGAAGATAAAATGGAAATGTCTACTGCAGAAAAGTTTGTGTTTTAAAATTTGGCAAAGTATAATATATTAGTATGGTTAACAGAAATTTCAACCGAGTTCTAAAAACTATATTCCAAGCAGGAAATCTTAACTACAATTGATATAAGAAAATTCAAAGTATGAGTTCAAAAAGTAAAGCTCTGGATGACCTTGAGAATGAACTCGGGAGAACAAGCTGAACAAGTTTACACTGCAGTTTTCAACAAAATCCAAGGAAATGACCAGCGGCCGAGCGGTAAAGTCGCTGAACACTTGTAGTTCGGTCGGAGGTTCGAATCCCATGAACGGGCTGGCTGCATGGGCGTTTTCATGGTTTCCCCCATGTGTAATGGGTATACGACCCAGTTTCCCTTAGAAAGCTGTTCACGAAGGCATCCCTCCCCTTAGGGAGATAGCCCCCGAGGCTTTGCCATAATCAGACACACACACCAAGGAAATAAACAATGTACAGCTTTGCAGTACCTTTGAAAACTGTCACTGGATTGTCAACCCATAAAAGAGACAACTGCAGTTGGAAGCATGCCGAGAAAATATGTGCACTATAAGGGAAAAAGAAATAGATTACTGTAATTTCCCTTTCATTTTAAACATACAACCATTGATAGGACTATTCTGTTTGCCAAATGAACTAATTTTTGTCTCTCCCTGAAGCAATCACGACTTCTGCTACGTTAAAGTAATAAGTAGGGAGAAAATATTGTCAAGAAACAAAAATTGGGCACTCTTAAAACTACAAACTTTTGGTTTTCAGTGCAGATATCTCACTGTTTAATTATTTCATCTTCCATCAGCTTTTACTAAGTCCCTGAAAAGGCAATGTGTCAAGCTAAACAATAATATAAATAAGACTGTACTATATTTCTATGCAAGAGACATATACAGGCTAAAGCAAAGCCAACATCTGTGAATCCAAGAAGGCATATTAGATATCACTGTGCCTTGCTAACTGCTACGATTCTGCCCTGAATGGAAATGTGTTCAGCCAGAATGCTGTGGGAGAACATCCAGGAAGAGGAATGAGGATCTTCTTTCCCCACCACCAATCTCTCAAGATCTCAGCTTACCATGTATTTTAAGTGTCCCTTTGCTACACAAGCATTACTATGCTAACAAACATTTATGCCTTCTTCGGTATTCAAACCCAAGCCCTTTAGTACTGCAGTCAGCATCACTAACCTTTATCCCTTCTGAGCAGCCTATGCAACAGACAACAGATTTTATCAGAAAACATCCTCCTCCATCATGATTCCAACAGATGCCTTAAAAATGCTGACAATTTCTCCAAAACACAGTGCAGTTATTTGAACATACAGCTTCAAAAGAAAACTTTTTTTTATCACACTTTACATTTTTTCAAATATTCTTTAATTAATTACATTCCATAAACTGTTAATCTTTATACAGAAATTGAACAGAAAATATGATAGATTTTCACATCTCTTTTCAATACTGATTGTGTATAAAAATAACAAAATTTCATCAATATCACATGAGTGCAATCACTGGACTAACTCAAGACTTGTCCTTTAACATCTCTAGTAGTCATATTTCCTAATAAAATTTTACCTCACATTTAAAAATATTAAAATTAAAATTACTTTTACATGATAACGTACTTTTTTCAGGCGTAATCAGCTAACCATACACACTGAACTAGAAAAACAAATTTTCATATGCTGCCAAACAGCATTTTCCCTATTTTACACTCATGTCCATAAATTAAGGATAATTTGGAGTCACACGGAAATCGAACTCTAAAATAAATATATCACTTGTAAAATCACTACACACATCTTCAAGAATCATATGCAAAATTCAGGAAGTAACCAGATGACATCGATGGTATGTCACAATGACGAGGGTGTAAGAGAGTGATATATAAAGAATACAGGCAAAGAAGTAAAATTGTTCGCAGACGCTTTATAAGCATTTCAGTGCAATAACCGAATAGTTATGACACAAAGGACGCATTTGGATGACTTTTTACGTGGTAGAATTATTGGCCATCTGGAATGTGGGCATACCCAACTGGAAGTATCAGACCAACTTGAAATTGCCCAGAGTGTCATCTCCAGGCTTTGGCAACGATTCCAAGATGATGG